AGTTAATTAGTTTATGTTTTCCAAGTTCCAGTTTTTCCTCTAGACAACAGTTTTCCGGCTAAAAGCCATTTTTATCGATTCGCGGTTTTTGGCCTATTTGCTCGATAACTGACGGGATATTTGGAAGAGGCGATATCGCTCTCTGTATATCTGCGATCAGACTAAGGACACATCGTTAGGCTAGGTTGTCTTTTTCCCTTTTTCTAAGCACCGTAGAGGGCTGGTGGTGTGTTTAGTGGTTCTGGTCGGCTATACGATTTAACACAGTCTCCTGGTCAGGTGTGAATGCTTATTGCCTGTCGTAGGCGTGCATTAGGATAACAGTAAGAAAAAAGGGTAGGTTGTCGTTGGGGAGAAAAGGGCCTGTCAGTTTATGTAGCCCGAGTGTAGCACATTTACTAATTGTACTAGACGCCAAATACCTTGGCTTTTTAAATTAAGGTAATATGGGGTAACGTTTAGACTGTACATTCTATGACATATTACCGGGATCTCTTAAAAAAAATCGCGTTAACATTTTTTAGACTGTACGTTTATAAAATGGACATTTTCAAAAATATAGTTAGATCCCCGCATAACCACGCCTGCTACAAAACCGTGGTTAAACTAAGTTTACTAGTACGTCGCGTTTTAAACCGTTAAAAGTGTACTTAAAGTAAGTGTATTTAAACGTGTACTAATTAAGTACACTACAGATAATAATAGTTTGGACATTTATAATCTGTCATGACATATGAATATTAAAATGATTCAAGTACAGTTTGTATGTCATTTAATCGAAATGTCGTATTGACTGAAGGAAATTAGTCAATTATTACAGAGTTCGATCCTCGTGATTCTTCGATGCTTATACGATGCGGAATACTCTTAACTTCAACAGGTTTTCGTATTGATTAGCAATGCTTTGGCCTACATAAAGTTTCATAAAACACCAACCCCTATGCCGTCTGCGATCGCTGCGATTTTGTTAAAACACTGTTTGTTGAACTACACGCATTTTGTTCCGTTTTGGAACTGGGCTATTTTAAAATCTTTGTTTTATCTTTCTTATAATCGTATAATTTATTCAGACAATCACAAGGTCTATTTAATGAAAGGCGAAATACCCCAGCCATTTACCGGGTCGACCTTTTGTTAATAAATATCAAATAAATATTGGAGGGTGTTAATATCGAATATTCCTGATTTCCAGACGAGACCAACGTGTTCAAAAAATTAAAAATAGTTTGATTTCCACATAGTTCATATTTAATGAAAATCTCAGATTTAAATAAAACTCTAACGGTTTAAAACGCGATATATTTTAGTGAAACTTGTTTGAAAATTATACGGCCCGACGTTTCGGATGCTTTACAGCAGCCTTGGTCACGGGGAGACTATTTGAACCGTTAAAGTGTTTTATTCGAAAGTGTACTACTCGCGTAAACTACAGACAGTATTTAAAATTCTCAGAATTTATAAAATAGAGGCACATATTTTTGAAATTAATGTTTTTAAGAAAGTTAATAGCTTTTTCATATAAAATCTATGTCAAACATATGTGTATTGGAAAATGTAGTGTTTAGGATTTTTCGCTGTTGGTGGACCCCAATTCTATCTTTATTGCCTATTTATAGAATCTTTACCTCCTGATGTAAACTGTCCAGTTCTGACTTATTCATGTCAGAGTCTCAATCAAAAATGCATAGCAGAATGGAGCGGAAGTTATATCTGGCAATATTCCCCGAGCAATCAACAACAGAATATTGTATTACTTGAAATGTACTCTTTATTTGTATTTATACAATTTCCCGCCAATAAGAAAATGTGGGTAGTTCCTACTTCCTATTGCTTTTATAGGCAATGAATTCATTTTGTAGTAGCACTTTGTTTATTAACGGTTAAATAATTTTATGGTCCGAAAGAAAAATTCTAATTGTTCATGTTTAACTTTAACATTAAACTCCTATTCTCAAAGGACCAATAAATAACTTTAGGGATAACATTTGTTCAAGAATATCCAACAATTTTAATATATGTTAGAATATTATGTTGTTAGGGGTTCCTCTCCCTAAAAAAAAAAAAACCCCCCCCCCCCCCCCCCCCCCCCCCCCGGGAACGGGCCCGTTTCTCCCCCCCCCCTCCCCCCCCCCCCCCCCCCCTTTTTTTTCTTTTTTTTTTTTTTTTTTTTCCTTTTCCTTTTTTTTTTTTTTTTTTTTTTTTTTTTTTTTTTTTTGGGGGGGGGGGTATATTAAGGTACTTCCTTTAATAACCAGCCGCGGTCGTGTTACCAGTGCCAATCGTTTTCATGGTCCTTCGAGCCGGTTCTTTGAAATTAATCGTAGTATCCAATCTAATATTGTTAGTATTAGACTAAATTAATATTTTACAACATTTTTCTGTATACTCGTAGTAGATCAAGTAGATAGCACCGCAATTTCGTTGGCATCGCTAATAAATTGTAAGCAACGAATCCCAAGGGAGTTATTGAAGGCTCGCTTTGTGAACCTTTTACATACTGTTTACGGAGGGCGAATGAATTTATTCTCCACTAAAACTAATAAAGATGCTCCGACTGCTTCGCACTACGTTTGGTGGAGCATTCAAAGTGATAAAATATAACTATTTATTAGGATAAAGTGTACATATACCGCTACTATGCAACATATACTGCTGATCTTCGTGTTCATATCCTTGTTAATATTAGCTTGTAGTTATTATACATCAATAGGCTGACGACACAAAAAATGTATATTACAAATTTTAAAGTGTTTAAACAAGGCACTACAATGGGATCACTTTGAGATTTTTTCTCTTAAATTATTTACTTATTAACACTCTCTCCACATTATTTATTTCCTTGTTTATTGCACACTTTATAATGTGGAGTGCAATACGCAGCCTTATCGCTAACAAGCGATCTCTTCCAGGTAACCTAATAAAAAAAAAACGATATATGCAAGGTGGGTGAAATGAAATATCTACATAATTTAATTCGCCCCCCTCCACAATTTAAACAATTAAAGAAATAATATATAAGAAAATTAATAGTGACCCATACTCTAGCTTATTAAAAGGAGGAAATGAATTAATGAAGGTCGAATGTATAGCATTCCAAAAACGCCCGTATCTCTCCAGCCTTCGTTTAGTCGATAGCAGAATGTTAATAAGGGATAGATTCGTGGATTAACCCTCGATTGTGATCTACTTTTATTGCTGGCTGCTTTGCAAATGGCTGCGAATTGTTCTCACAAAGCAACCTAAGTTTGAATATAGACAATAATTAAACTAATACGTAGACAACCGATCTACGACATTTAACGGGTGACAAGGGAATGTTACGTGCCTCTCACTGACCAATTAAATAAATAGGTAAATAATAAATAATCCAGTTTATAAACACAAAGACTTATACATAACTTACAACTAAAATGAAAAGTAATAAAGAAGTACAATTTTGAACGGTGTTTAAGTAATAAGGTATAATAATAAGCTTAACGAATAAACGCTGATTTTCAGTCCCTTTAATTAAAACATTTTAACGGTTTAAAACACGACATATATCCCCGATAGTCGATAGGCGATAGTCTCCCCGTGACCACGGCTGCTGCAAAGCATCCGAAACGTCGGACCGTAGTTAAAATAGGTTTTACTAATATATACTTTTCGCGATAATGACAGACTTAATATTGGCTGTCCCATATCTTGTAATGATTGCTCTGTTTGAAAACTTAGTTGATTAGACTACTCAGGTTAAAGAAGTTTCACACGCTAAGCAATGCATTTAGCCATTGTCAAATAAAAGGATGAACGTGGCTACGAAGAACGTACAAATTCAGTTACTAACCTTTCACAACTTTGAAAATCACCTATCTATTCAAATATAAACTCTATGATCAATGTAATACGATCGATATTTGTAACGATATCATAATACTAATTGAAACCGAAGTGCATTCGAAGTGCTTACAGCGACAGTTCGTCGGGTCACGCAATACGGTAATCATGGGCCATTTAAGTACATTTTCAAACAGTACAAATGACATGGTTGGTGTATGTAAAACATATGTTTTGAGATATTTGTATCCAATCTCAGAGTAGCTTTAAAACTGCAAGATAAAGGCTAGTGCTATATTACGTTGTACGCACTCATCTCCGTAGCTTAATGGTAAGCGCGATGCCGAAAGAGTTCTCGGATTCGAGTCACGGGGAAACGATATGGTGTTTTCGTCCGACTGAAGTCTGAAGTCCAATTGGTTGACTTGCCAGCTGAAAATATTCGCCCTATTTCCCTTTGTGTGGACAGGGGGGATTAGGGCAGTTTACTTCTTTTAAATTATATAACGTAGATAATATTAGATGTTACAACAAAGTGCTACTGTTATTTATGTCCGCAATTAACATAAAATATATCGTCAAAGGATCTTACAAGGCTTCCATTAATTATAATTACAGTTAATAGCTTCTAATGTTGTGCTATGCAAACTACATATATTATATACTGTTTTATTTATGAAAGCATTTCGTAATCTCACAATATTTGTTAAGTATATTGAAACAATATTTTCTTTGTTTATTTTCTAGTTTTAAAACGACGTAGTATGCATCATATCTTGGACAGGTGAGCCAATCGCGTCGCAGTTCCCCTGGAGGCGCATGCGCGCCCGTGGGCGGGCGGTCGATATCTGTGACGTCACGCGGTCTAACCAATGGCGCCGGGCCGTCGCTCCTCAATCGATTTGTACGATTTTGCTGTACTTCCGACTTTTACGTTGAAATTTCTTGAGTAGATACGTCGTTATTGAATTGAGAAAGAATCTCACATAACGCTGCTAACTAATGTTTCTGTTTGTGAGAAGTTTTCAACTCTCTGTTGTACCGGTCTGTACCTAATGTCGCATTCGCTATTAGACTATCAATATATTAAAACATTCGAAAGATATCAATTATGGCTATAAAACTATTTATTCATAGTCTAATCGATCGAAGCAGACTCCTAGTCTATTTGTAGGAAATAGCAGCTAGTTTGTTATTAGTTTCGCGAAATCTTTGAAAACGTTCTGAATACGGTCCGTAATATCTAGTACTGGCTTATTGTTAACTGACAACCAGATCGACCCACACGCGCCTTCTTCAAACATTGTTACGAAGGCATTCACCGCGGATTCCACCCTGAAAACAATGCAGATTTGCGGTAAAAATAATGACATATACGATGACGCTATACAACTTGATTGTGGTTTATCTTATTTAAACTACGCGAAAGGATTGTAGATCAGATCTGTTGCAAAGCGAATCATTGAGATAAAAATAACTTAATCAACTAATATATTTAGACGCGCTCGTTGTGTAGCAATGTATAGCTTACTATCAACCGTCGGATTCGATCCCCAGCGGTGCATCATTTATCGACTAAATTCAAATATTTCGGGAAGATTAAAGTAAAATGATTGGCAGGATTACCGAAATTCCGTCCGGAGTCACGAACCATAGTCGACAGTGAAAAGGCGTTAAGTCAACTCGTGATGAGGTTCAGGATACCCAATCGTGACGATGTTCCTTTATATTAAAAAATATTTTGCATTGCTAACCTTTAAAAGCTGTTTCATGTAAATGACATTCGTGTATTTTAGACAACACTTACGTTTGTGGGTTAACTGACGTCCTAGCGTAGAAGTCTTTAGCTAAATCCATGTCGATGGCTCTGTCATTTAGGTTCTCCATCAACGGGGTTGCAGTAGGTCCGAAGCAAATTGTTAGAACACGAACCCCGGTGCGGTCAAAGAATGGCGGCTCCTGAAAATAAATTCCTCATTAATGTTCTCAGTGATAACATTGCGTAATATTATTTCTCAGAAATGTAATAAGAGTTACCGCAAGCGTTTGACTGAAGTGTAGGACGGCCATTTTGGATCCACAGTATATGGGCATAGTCTTAAACTTGTAAAGTGCAGCGGTCGATGCAATATTGATGATCGTTCCACCGGCGCCCCCTTTGTCTGTCCGCATGTGCTCAACGCCTTTCGTTGTGAAGGAAACTAAACCTTGCTGAAAGTTAACGACGAAAATAAAATCAATTAATGGGTCTTTAAGATCGGGGGTTTATAATTAATTGTCAAAAAAGATTTAAATGCGAAATATACTAGTCGACTTATTTGTATTATGCCGTTTCGGATGATGCAGCGGAAATCTACAAAAACAACTAAAGAAAGCAATTGGAGACCGTGAGTCTGTCCGGACTCCGCTAGTTTCTCCAAATTACGATAAAACAGGTGGCGCTATTATCGTTTAGCTTAATCGTAAATTTTTTAAATCTGTTAATTTTGGGTGATCTCGAAAATAGACTAGAATAAAATCTAAAGAAAAAAACGCATGTCTTTCGCTTAAGACTTATCAGTGCATAACATAGGTCAATTTATATTGTTAACCAATTATTTTTAAATAACTAGCTTGTTAAGACCCCTGATTTATTTATTTTCTCTACTAATAATAGTCTGTTGAGGTCCCTTCAAGTCTTCCAGCTATTTGTTTACTACTGAATTTATTATTTCTTTAGAATATGTAAATTACACGTACCCAGTTAACGTCGCACGCCTTTCTCCATAATTGAGGTGCATCGCTCATAATTCCCGCATTATTTATGATGACATCAATTCTTTGGAAGTCGCTCAGCACCTTTTCAAAGGCCCCACTGACATTATCTTCATTTCCGACGTCACATTTGACAAATATGGCTTTTCCTGGGTATGTCTCGTTTAGCGACGACACGAATTTCTCTCCTACGGCTTCAGCGATATCCAAAACAGCAACTTTCTGAATGTGGAAGTATACTTGGTTCATTTGAAGAAAGATTTATGAATTATTTTGCGCTTTCGACATTTCCATAAAAATAATAGAACTCAGCGGGATTTGTTTCTAACTACATTTGTTTCGTATTATATAGAAAACACTTCTAAATAACACAACGGTTCCCTGGCCTTTAATTTAGGATCGTAGCTAATAGGAGAATAATAATTATTACTTTGCATTGAATAGCTACTGGGAACACATTAAGGAATAAAATATGATCGAATACAAACAGGGACGGTTCAGAAGACTATTTAATTTGGAAAATTGGAGATATTCCCAAATAACAGAAACAATGTCTGTCATTCGAGGTTTTACATAAAAAAATCACATGTAAATAAAAAGAGATTTATACTTAAATTGAGAGAGATTATATTTATTCAAAAATCTTTTAATATTTGACGAAAATATAAATATAATTGAAAACAATAAATTTAAAATTATTTTTTTTTCGAAATTTTAATTTTAAATAAATTTAAAGCTGAAGAGTTTGTTAGTTTTTTGTTTGTTTGAACGCGTTTATCTCAGAAACTACTGATCAGAAAAAAACTTTTTTTGTTGGTTAGAGCATTTACCTAGAAAGACTATAAAATATCGCCCTGTGAGTAATACAAGCGAAGATACAGCGGGAAATGTGAAAAAAATTAGGTAAATTATTCATCATTATGGGTTTCCGAGACGTACGCTGCAAAAACTGTACAAAAATATGTATGAGAGAATGATTCCTCTTTAAATCTGCGAAGGTATATGTCTATCTTTTAAGATTAACTTGCAAGAACGACGGGAAGGGACGCGACCGACGTCGTGGGTAACAGCTTAAGTTAATAAAGATGAAGGGTTTACAAAAACTATGATGCCCAAAAATGTTCTTAGCGGAAAAGTCGCTGAAAATAGCTAGGTTTTAAATAAAGAATCCGAAATGTTTATTGTCAAAATCTGCCCTAAATACGGATGTGCATATAATTTTCGGGTCTCGGACCTGTCACGTATTTACCTGTTAGGCGGTACAAAGGTCGCTGGATCAACTAGTGAACGATGCACATTAAAAAAATACCTGAATATAACAGTACCTTTGCTCCGAGCTTTAAAAAAGTCTCAGCGTACTGTGCTCCTAAGCCAGAGGCACCACCGGTAATAAGAAACGTTTTCTCCTTAGCTTCCCAATGACCCGACATCGTATTGGAAAATGAACGAACAACACACGCAAGTAAACAAGATTAGGCCTTTATATTTGTTCATATCTTTTTATCGTACGATTATAATCGTAATAAATTCCAAATGAAATATTTTGTGCAAATAACAAATTCGTAGGTACTATTGGTACTAACTACTTAGATATGACTAAGGGAAGATTAACGATTTTATCAGCAGGGTATGTACCTTGACCTGTTTGTTATCTGTGTTTTATGTGCAAAGGTTTATTTATTTTAAGGTCTCATTCTTAAATTATTATTTTCATAATAATGACCGATTATATTGATGATTTAGCGTACAAAAAAAATAGTCTTAGTTAATAGCGTACCTATAATATAATCCTATAAGACCGTTTACAGAAGAATTATTCTTTCTCACATAGTTTTTTGATTTCTTGAATCGGTTTCGCAGCTTACTTCGCTCCTATAGGTCGCAGCTTGATGTTTTAAAGACTTTCTCAATAAATGGTCCAACCAACGCAAAAAAAAAATGCTAATACATTTATTATAATTTATTTATTTATTTACACAAATATATGCTGCCATTACAGATATAATCCAATTCGACAGTAATACACAATATATAAAAAAAAATACATATGAAAACTAAGTTTTAATAACTATTTTCATTAGTTCTAGTAGTAATTTCGTTAAGAACAATATTTGCTATTTCACTCCAATACCCCGTGAAAATGTCAACCTTTTGGTGTTTTACTCCCCTATGTTATAAATTTATATCTTATTTTCCTTATAGCAATTATTGTGCATACCTTTAAATACATAATCGTCACATCTTCTAAATAAAATAATTGCTCTCTACATACTTGTAAGCATACTATTAAACTGTCGATTTTGCCAACGTGCGATTTAACGACTGCCCCACTGTAGTTAAGCTGAACCATAATTGTGACCCAGATTCTGGCATGTAATGTTCGAAGCGATCACTTGATCTCGCCCGTCGACCTCTATTGCTATCATCGGCGTTTACCCGATGTTAGTGCTTTGACCGCTTTCCGTCTTATGGTACCTAATGATGTTGGTGGCAACGCTTACAGAGACATTTAAAACCGCTAGTAAATATTGCTCATAATTAATGAATAAAATTAAAAAGCCTTTGTTTTCTTAAAAACTATAATGAACAGTTATCGGATATTTTAAAATGAAATTAATGTTTACAAGTAGACGGTATGTACGAAATTATTTACAAGCTAAATAACTAAATTATATAAGGAACCCTGTCGTGTGTAGGCCTCCTCCAAAGTGGTTCAAGCGTCTCGATTTTGGACAGTTTTCGTTATGCTTATACTAAACATACTTTAAAACACAGCTTGGCCCGCCATATGTGTGTGAAATTCTGATTTCCATGGGGCGAATACATTTTCAGACAAGCAATAGGTTGATCGTGTGAACTGTGCTGTGCAGTCAATTATCGTTACCCAAGGATTCGAATCTAGAACCTCCCGTGTTAACGCAATGCTACAAAACCATGTATTGCATGTTATCCTCACAAATGCCACTACCAGTTTTATTAGGAAGAGAAAACACATATGTACGAGTACATTTAATGCGAAGTTACCGTCATAGATAAGTGACTCAAAGCGCGACTTATAGTAAAAATATATTGTAAATAACTATCTCATGGTGTTGTTACTGGCGCTACTATCTGACTTTGATCGCGTTGCATTTTTTTTTCACCCTCTTGTCATGACAAACCTTTTAAAATAACTAACGCTTAAATGTATTATTGTTATAGAAAAATTTGCTCTGAAAAGAGAGCATTTTATTAAGATTGATATCTATGTTGGCCAGTAAATAAAATGCAGTGTGTGGGTGGTCGTTTATTGTCTACACCCACGATTCGTGATAGTTGGCCATGCAGCGTCATCGTGAAACTCATGAAAATTGCATAAGATCTCTTTAATGAACTTTAGCCTTTTAGCCAAAATATTGGAAAATGTTTTAACAACCAACCAGTTTTACTCTAAACTTAAACAAGTATTAAACATTAGAGATATTCACACGAGTAGTTCACAATTTTAATATTTCGCGTTTAAAACGCGTTTGGCATGCTTTACAGCAGCCGTGGTCACAGGAGGGGGGGGAAGGAACTAAAGCTGCTCGCTGAGAACAAAGCCAAAACCGCTATGTGCTGCCGTCTGTTTTATCGTAATTGATATTTGCAGCAAATATATATAGGTCCCTACAGAATTGTAGAGCGATATTGTATTGAAAGAAATACAGTCGAGTGGGAGAGGTCTGAATGATGTGTATTGATTGTTCACTTAACTTTGACCTTTACCGCATGTTTTAAATGTTTGATTTACATAATATAGACTTCTTTCAAACGCGTAAAGTATGGATTTTTTTTATATATCGTGATTCGTGACGTATTCTTCATAAACTGTATGAAATTATAAAATGGCGCAGTAGTGAAGTAAATACTTTGTTTGTTAAGAGACCGGTTTTGAGGGTTTCCAGGAGGGTTTTCATTTATATTAAATACATTTTAAAATAACATATTAAAGAAAACATTTAAAACGTTAATCGAATCCATGACCGAGAATAAATAAGAGTTTTATAAGATTCTATGTGAAAATTATAAAATTGTAGAAGAATATATTTCGTGTCGTCCCAAGGGAAAATTGCGATTCAATTTTCTGCTAATTTAAAGAACCTTATTACACAATGTGGAGTAATGTGAAAGGGTTGTAATGTTATAGCCGAAGGCCTTGTGCTCTAGTGGGCTCGCGAGGGATAAAGCTCAAGGATTATTGCGGTTGCACCACCCGATACTGCGCCGTGCTGCTGCAAAATGATGTATAAAACTGCTGATTCACGCTTCGGAATGTCTATTAGCGGAGTCAATTATTGCAATGAATGTAGACCCGATTTCACTTAAATTGTTAGTGTATCGGTTCCAGTATTTTCTGCAAGCGGTAGATGAAAATTATTTGTTTTAAACAAAAGATTTTCAATCTATTAATATCTCACCTCTTGCTGCAGTGCGGTTTGCCTTTACGAACATCATTTAATTAGCGATGGAAATTGTAACGGAAAATTCCTTTCTAAAATTACGCAATGCGAACCCTAGACCTCGTGGTCTTCATTCGTGTGTTAATCACGAAATAGAGCAAACGAAAATAAAAATAAAAATCAAGACTAATAGCCAAATATTAATGGGAAGATGGGTAATTATAGTTAAAAAATCAAACGTACAGCAAAATTTTTATTTAGTACACAGTAAAACTTTTCGTAATTTTAATATATAAATAGTATATACATATATGGCTTTAAACTTGAAATATATAAATGAATATATTTCAATATATTTTCTACTATGACATGACGTTTTGGACACTTTGCAAAAGCCGTATTGTACAATAAATATGGCCGCTAATAAATTATATTTCATGTTTAAAATTAAATTAAAAACAAAGTTTTAAATCAAGTTAAGTTTACTAACGTTGTGCGTATTATTGTCGAATAATTATTTGAATGGTATATATCCCCTTTACTTTTTCCTTATAGTACTATACTGTTGTAATATTTCCTAACATTGGCCATGTTCAATTTTCTAGGTTTATTGTAAGAAAATCCCACTGCGTCGATCCCTAACCTAGCGAGTAAAACAAAACAAAAGCATTGGACAATTGTATTCTTGACCTCAACATTATATTATATTGTTCGGTAGAATACGAATTGATATAAGCGCTCTTCGCCTAGTACATAAATTATATTTTTAAGTAGTCTATTCTTTGATAGAAAAATCAATGAATATCAACCTATTTCAATTTAAAGGCAATGTTCGAGTCCATACTAACAGTTCGTGTAAAAATATAATAACTTGTATGCTGCACATTGGTAGTGAACTTAGTCGACGAATTTTCTATAAAAATAAGGTCAAACATGCATTTATTGTTTTCCCCGAGTTAAACCTTGATATCGCGATCGGGGAATTTATTAGTAATTATTTTATAGTAAGTAAGTTTGTATTATTGTACGTTGTATTATATCCTTGCAGGGAATCGAGAACTAATTTTTCAGATTTTTCTAGTTTCTATTTTTATAATGTAATACATGTGTCTGGTTTTGTTTTCGGAATGAAGTATTGAATCTTTCAGATTTCTCGTTTGAAGGGTGCTCGCTAGTTTCAGCTCGGCTGCTCGACCCTCTTCCGTTATTCACCACGTACCACTTTCTGCCGAGACCGCCTTTGAGCTACGTTAAAATGTATTTTCTGAAATTCTGTCTCACTGGAAAAATCGTCACGTTTTCATACTTAAATTGTTTGTTTGAATTCCGTCTTATATGTTTATTTATATTCTTATTCGTTCTGCATGTTGTTTATTCTTTCGTCCTTCAAAAAAAAGAAATGTATTAAGTAATGTTATAAAACTACTTCATATTTTGTGACCAATACGATTAGATTAGATTATGACAATCTTTTTAGGAACTTTTGTACTACTTATGGCCGATACAATGATAGCAATCTAATCGAACTATTGCCCTTTCCTCCAGACGTCACTGCGTCATCGTCGGGTACCTTTTGAATGGCTAAGTCAAGTTTCTTGACCTATGCGTTTGTCAACTCGATCAACGTTCCTGTCAATAGACGTATGGGTCTGGTCATAATTTTAGTACTAGACTTATTATTGATAGAATAAGTAAATGATCTCAGGGCTGTAGGCGAGCTCATCTACTTACTAAGAGAAAAGGAAATGTTAAAAATTGGAACAATATTAGTTTATTTAATATTGTTAAAATTTTTTGACTTGTCTTTTAGTATTTTTCTAATAAAATAGCTTTAAAAGGCAGAAACTCAAATATTCGTGGTCAAAATATGTATTGCAACTTTAATGAGGCCGCTTCGGCTGCGCTGCGAGAGAAGAGCATTGAAATGTTCGGGTTCTGTACGTTAACGTTATTTGCGGTGTGGGCTGCGCGGTGACACTTTCGCGCACCGCGGCCCTAGATCGAAGGCCCTGGAAAGGCAGCGCGCATGCGCCGCGGGGACTCCGCCGATGCCTTCGCCGCCCTCCCGCAGTCGCATCGCGCACCCGACGGCGACGTTATGCCGGCCGACACTGCGACCTGACCTGAGCATCGCGCTCTAAACCTTCGAAAACAAACCCCCGAAAGCGCATCTGCTCCACACCCTCGTCAACGAGACCAGGGTAAGTTTTAGCACTCTTTTCCCCGCCGCAGGGCCCCCGAGGTCGACCCTCGCGGCGCTCCGGGATCGCACATTTAGAGGGTAGATGGCGCCAGTCGGTGGTGAGTCATCTCTGCGACGACAAGTTTTATGGCTGCCTCTTCGATCTCGTGAAGTCTGCAGGCGGTTCGGATTAGATGTAGGTTGCAGTGTGTATTACGTAAGTGCGTGAAGAGTGCAGCGGCCGTGGCGCGGCACTTTCAATTGTGCCCAGCCGACCGTTGGCCGACGCCGTCCGCGAGGCGCTTCGAGCGGTCACTTCGATCCACGTCTTGTGTTTGAGCCTGTGAATCCTCTTTGGAAATAGTTCTACTAGTGTTCGTCTGTGTTGGGAAATGCGTTTCTTTCTATGTATATGGTGAAAGTGTCCCAGAATAGTCTTTCAGTGTTGTCTTGTTTTTATCGAGTGTCTCTCTTCAGTTTTGTTTTATTGCATCATATGTTAGTCGGTTTGTATTTTAATGTATGATCCTCAATTATACGTATTATACGTGGTTATATAGCAGCAGACTTTAAAATTAGATAGAATATTGTTAACAAAATCAATAGTCGTATGACCTTCTCGAATATCTGTTATAGGCCGCCGCGGGCGCATTTTGCTTTAGATAATTGTCAGAGGGACCGGAGCTAACTACCGATGTGGTAGTTTATTGGCATCAAATTTAGAGCTAACAACTTCAGTCTTTCTAAAGTGTAAATTTATAGACCAAATTATTTGTATTTAATTCGTTTGAAAATTAAACATTCTTACAAAATTTGTGACTGACGAATTGTTTTATAAATATATTGTTTTATAACCTCTGCTCAATACTTTGTAAAACACAATAGTTTCTCGTTGCATTGATTTAACAAAAAGATCAACTATGATCCTCGTCCTTCCGTAACTAGGTCAAGGAGTTACTTGCATTTATCTTCATTTACAACGCTTCTGGTATTTTGTCTTACGCCCTTGAATATTTATTCGGAACATATGCATTTATACACTATAAAGTTTATGCTTTTAACGATTATAGAAATCATGTGTGGTATACGCTTACTTAGATCTAGCTATTAATTTATACCTAAAGCGTATATTGCCTCAAGATAATGTTAAATATGGACGACTATTACAGTTATTCTGGACACGTCGAAAGCTCGTTAGTCGCGACCTCATTATTCCCTTTCTCGCTATATGGGATTATTTCATTTTTATCGTAAGGACCGCAGAAGCTGTATTGTTCCGATGAAGATAGATTTATTCATGGATTCCACTAGCCATTAGTCCAGGGTATTGCGTAATTGATATAGACTAATGGAATCACTGTCGCTTTTGATCAGATGGATTTTTCTTCGTCGTTCATAAATTAACTTAAGATACTTTATCACTCGATCCGTAATAGACGCTTTTATACTGTAACAGAGTCAAGTCTTTAGTTTACGGGAGTACATTCATTTTGACTAGCCTAATTTTGTGTAAGAAAGTTGCCGAAAGTCAACGAAATAATATGCGAAGCAATTGGATTCAAGCGATTTCAATCTCTCTATTGAAATTTCTTGAATTCAATTGCTACACACCTAAACAGCCTAAAGATATAAAGACCTGGGATCTAGCATTACAAATACCTAATCCCCATAATGAAACATCGACGAACAAAAGGACATGTTGGGCAACTCTATAAAGACCCTTTCTTCGAATAATAATTATATATGAAACTAATTTAAAGTATCTGAAACGTTTGAATGGTTGTTAAAACAATCTAACAATTATTTCGCGTTTTAAACCGATAAAAGTATTTGCTCTAAATAAAACAGGATTAAGTTAATATCTAGCTATTATTCAACGGCTTTAAACAAAGTCATCCTGTCTAATGTATGTGCGTTGTTGCAGGTGCAAATCGGCGCCATCACCGATGCTGTAGTGGCGCAGGTGGTTCAATAAGCAGCCGCCATGTCGTCTGTGAAGGTGGCGGTGAGGGTCCGCCCCTTCAACTCGCGAGAGATCGCGAGGGAGAGCAAATGCATCATCGAGATGTCCGGCAATACTACAGGTAACCATTTGAAGACTTTAATATTTTTCACATGATGATTATAAACCAAAACTCGATTTAAATTGAAAACATTTTACGACACGGGCAAGTGTCGGTGTAAGACACTGTAGATCAATTGCTTAGAGCAAAAGCACAGAACGCTGTGGTGTTGCTCTTGCCGGGTTGCCGGCTCGAGTCCTTCCCGTATCGTAAAATGTTTTCAATCTAAAATCGTCTTTTCAGTGTCCATTTATTTGCCAATAAGATGACTACTAAATGCGAGGTTCGATTCTTCGCTAATCAAAACAGTCATATGATCGTTTGCATATTGCTTTAACAAACAGTCGGGATAAAAGCTAAGATTACAGTTTCAGTGTAAATCATGAAAATAATAACAGTTTGTTGCAAAAAAGAGGCTATTTAAGTATAGACAATATTATAGATTGAATATTACAAATAAAATATAAGTCTCACTCACTTTGAACATTTTGTTTCCCCTTACTCAACAACTCCCTAAATAAAGAAGAGTTTATCAGCATTACGACGACGCAATTGGACGCTAAATAAATGTTTATGAGTGAGTCTTATTTAATTTATCGGAAATTCTGCGCCATCCGTTTAAGTTAGCGCCGTTGTGGCCGGTAATGAAGAGTGGCGTTTATTACGCAGTAAAACCTTTCGAGACCTTCAGGAGGTTCTCTTGATATTATGACGTGGAAAAGTACCTACTTTATTATGGAAGGCTTATTTATAAAGCTTATCGAACTTCTTTAATGAAAAATTATGAAAACAGGACAAGTATTTTTTTATGAAATTTTATTTAGCAGAGTTATCATAGAAAACGTTTTGCAAAATAAAACTTTGCTGTATTTATTGTAAGGATTAATAATAATTAGTAATTACCCTTTAAACCACGAATAGAAGATATAAAGATGAGAGATGGAAAATGGAAAATGTTATGTGTGTGTTTTTTACGTCTACTATATAAAATAAATAAATAAAATATAATATACTTTATTCTCTTTTAAATTTTAAAAATTATTTAGATTCGTCAATTTTTTTTTGTTTGTCTGTCTGTTTGTCGTGATTCTACAGAGTGTTCAATAGAGCAACATAACTGAGAAGAGCACCCAAGAAACTCAGTCCGGCTTTTTTTAACAGGTCTTATAAACTAATACATTGTGTATTTATTAACCTAAGGAGCAGTTCATATTACTGCCTGGCGGTCTTGTCATTAAAGAAATCGTTCAGACAATAATACGCCTTTGAGACAATCTAAATTTTATAACTTTTTTAAATTTATTTATCGATAAACTTGAAACCTCAACTGGCAATTTATTGTACATACGAATACAATTCCCCGCAAATGAATTAGATATTTTATGGAGCCTATATTTGGGGATAGCTAGGTTGTCCTTATTTCGTAAGTTCAAATTATGTCTATCACTATTATTGCTAAACTTGCTCTTATTCTTATGGACAACATGGAATACAATACATTTTTATAAATATACTGCGAGTACACAGTAAGTTTGCCGATATTTTTAAAGGTATCTCTTAATGACTCCCGAGATCCCATACCATAGATAGCCCGGACCGCCCTTTTTTGCAACACAAAGATACATCCAATGTCGGCAGCGTTACCCCACAGTAGTATGCAATATGTCATAACACTGTGGAAGTAGCTCAAGTAGACTAGACGCGCTGTTTTATAATTCATTTTTCAAATATTCAAATAATTCGTGACGAAGACAATTCCAACATTCTCTAGTCTAACACACAATTTAATTCTTATAAAACCAGTAAGTGCATTTTTTCAATGACTAATCCCCTTCAGGGTGACAGCTCGCATCTGGTCTGGAAGCCGGGAATCATATGATTCATTATATGAGCTTACTTTACAGTATAAAATGGGGACTGGGTGACTCATTTTAAACTCCCTGGCCATTATCATACTAGGCTCATAAAATCAAATATACTTTATTCTAATGGTAATCCATTCTTTGATTTTAATGAGGTTTTCATTCTATGGTGATTAATTATTTATAAATCGGTCAAGTGTGAGTCAGACCAGATAAACTGTAAAATGTGGTACACGAATTTCAAATCATATTTTCATTTTCAAGTTTTCACACTATAAAAGGGAAAATTCACGTTTAACGGAAGTACGTCGTATGGATATTTTATTATGTAAAATTATTAATGAACTGAAATTTGTGAAAATTTCAACTAGTTATTGTTGGTTAGCTTGATTAGCAACAGACAGATAGCGAAGTCCTTCCGTTTTTAAACTGTTTTATTTAGCTCACCCCGTTTGTTTTATTATTTATTCTTGGGTCAAATTTAGCAATTCAAATTTCACCCTCTTCCTGTCAACTGATGCATCTGAAATTTTGTATACACTTTGGATTTTGGTGACAATACAATTATAATTATAAATCCAAGATGGCGGCCGCTACAAAACGGCGGATAACGTAGGTTTTATTAATCCCATCAATATGAGTATGAAAGGGCCAAACGACGAATTAAACGATTCTTCTATCGCACATTAATTCGATAATTTGTAGACAATTGACGTGCCCCACGGTTTTATTTTAGTCTAGTCAATGCATATGTTTATAATTCCCACGACTGTATCTATTTTATTATTTTTTCGTTTTTAGTACATTTATCTTAAACATTGCAATGTATGTTTAACATAAAATCGTTTAACTTAAAAAGTTTTTTACCTATTTTTATTTACTTCTTTTGGTTACGGAACTCTAAAAATTAATATTGTATACGTATATGTTTATATGTAATTATTATGTCAAATATAAATAAACAGTTTCGTTCTCTTGAAAGGAAGTACATAATGTTGCGTGTTGTCAATCGTTTTCAGTGTTGTTTATTATTGTGGTGTACCCTTCAAGTATCAATGTCAACGGTAATCGGTATTCCTATCTCTGCTATGGGGGATCGATAAATCTTGATCACGTCTAGTGATTATGTACTGTTTATATTGCATGTAGCTATTTAAGTCCAGTAAAGAATCAAAGGAAAGAAATCGCATTTGTATTCTTTTTTCCACAGGAAGACATTTAAATTAATTACAGTACTAAGTTGATATATTATTATCTAAATAACACACTATTGTCGGTTTAAAACGCGGAATATATTAGTTAACTAATTTACAATTTGATTAAACTACGCCCCCACGTTCGCCCGTAATCATGGCTGCTGCAAAGCATCCGGAACAAGCTAAAATTATTTACAAAGTTAACTAATATATCTCACGTTTTAAACCGTTAAACAATTTATTATTGTTTTACACATGTTTGAACACATGCTCTTGGTGTTATGCCTAATGGTTAACGAGATGAGCTTATGTTGCTACGAGCGACTACGCGGAGATTTTATTAATATTAAGCTTAGCTTTTAATTATAGTTTAGCAAATAACTTTTTTGACTTTGTTTTTCTGGTTCACTTCTTCTCTTGAAAATTCAGTCCACTGTAACTTGCAGAAAAAATATGACGTCACTGCGTGCGTCATTTTCTGTTTAGTATGCATTGGTTTACTCTATTAAAAGCTAATGGCTTGCAAGACGACGTCAAGGGACAAAACGACAAAATTGACTATTTAAGCTTATCACTTCATGCTTTCTACCAGCGAATGTACATACGATATTTATATAGTCCAAAATTATCGAATATAAAGTACTAGGTTATCTGGCGAACGTTCTCTTGCCAAGTACTTCGACCAAATTTTGATTGCCATAAAAACGTTTTATGTGAGCTAATCTGAAAAGATATTTAACAAGTAATAATCTATTCACGAATATTTTTATGGTAGTAACATAAAAAAAAAATCCTACAACCACTATAGTTTACGATGAAAAATAACGGCTAAATTAAATACAGTCTTTAGTTCAATAGTTGAAGTATGTATTGTTTAGCTTGACGAGATGGGTTCGAGTTACGGTAAAACGATATTTTGTTTAGGTCCTGCCTGTAAATTAATCGACCGATTCGAAAGCGGACATTGTAATATGTTCGCATTTTATCCCGCAGATTTCACACTAACACATCACTTAAGTATATTTAGATCAAGAATTTCGTATTCATTCGAGGGTAATATAGAGGGAACTTGAACTAAACATTGTATATCATGATCAGGTTTTATGATCACGTTCGGGCATCGGGCATCCCCCGAGGAGCGATTAGCCATAACTCCACGTGGGCTCAATTGAGTGAATAATTCAACGCGTGATTTATGAACATGTTTGCTGGGCGCTGACTGAATAAATGTTATCCCTGCCTAATAAAGTTTCTAAGGATGTTTTCTGGAAACCGTTTTATATGACAGAAAAGAAAAAAAAGGTGAAATACTCCACAATATAGAACAAGATGGACTATTTCGGTTTCAAATATATGTAAATACATAGACTGGCTCGAAATTCGATTACACTTTGTAGATTTTCTACCTGTGAACGGTGGTTTTCGACCAGGGTGAAATTTAGATTTTCCATTTACCTAAGTGGGTAGTTAGAATATCGAAATTTTCATAGTAGCGTTTTTAAAGAGATGTTCTTATCTAGCACACCATTCCTTCGTGAAAAACACCACTGGATTTTTGCCTCGTTAAAACTTCTAAAACTAAAATAACGAGAGGGTCCGTTAAAGCTACTTATAATACGCGTTCTAAAGCTCATCCAAAAGTAATTTATCAAACGCTATAAAGCGTAGTATAGTTACGATCTCGCTATAAAACTTCATTTAAAGTCTAGGCACTCTAACGCAAGTCGTGTTTGCGGTGACCACATGTAGTTTGAACTTTACGATCTATGTGCTTTTTATTTCCTCGTCTATACAGTATCGCTAAGAACAGCTTGGCCTTTCTTAAGTCGAACATTGTAAATTTTATTTATTGGACAAAAACCACTAAGACCGCGTACACGTTTTGAACTACTGAAACTAACTAGAAAAGGACATTTTTATGTACCTCCCTTATGTGAGCGATTCACATGTTTATTGTTATTTTTAAAAGTAAATAAAAACTGCATATGCAAACGGAATATGTTGCCAATTTTTATGAAAGTATTATAAATACCATACATTCATACATACCATCCAAGGCAGTTGTAAATTAGCAAGTACACATATAAACTATTTAATAGAAATAGGTAAGTCGTACGCTTCGTAATTTAAAGTAAAATCAGCGACTTTTCAATTCTAACGAAGCGAATTGCGGACGGGAGCGAAACTCACGCGCGACTTTCATATTTCTTCATTTAGTTCGACAGCAATTAGACGTAAAAGAAATATGGCATGAGGCCTCGTGACCCGACGAGGAGAGGTCACAGTAAAGTGTAAACTTGTCTTTTGTGAAGCGATGGCGTGGAAGCCGTCGCCATTTTGATTTATACCTTTAATTAGGATTCGTCTAATTGGGCGTATTGAATTAATTTAATTAAAGCGGCCGAAGATTTTTCCTCCACGCAAAATATAAAGCATAACGGATGGATTACAAAAGCTCTGTCGTACCTATGCCAGCTTATGTGTAACGTGGGGATAAATAGGTAATAAGGATAAAAATGTTGTAAATAAACCTATCAGATAGCTTAAATAGTGTCTACAATTTACGCGAGTAGAACACATTTAAATAAAACAGTTTAACGGCTCAAAAAGATTACATTATTAAAATTTATTTGAAAATATGTAACGCGTTTCAAGCCGTTAGAGTGTTTTATTTAAATATAAGATTTCTTGTCTTCAAAATTTCGCCCATAGTGTAACAATAATTTACATTTTATTAAGTATTCACAACTTATAAAATTTCCAAATAATTAACAGTGCCTTCCTCGACTCTAGCTCACTATAATTTGTATGTATTTGACTATTGGTAAGGGCTTATATACTGCGGAATATAAAAATAAGAATTTAAGAGTTAGAATACACCTTGTCTTATGTGTGATGGTGAAGTTAAGGAAATTAATTTTAGAAAATGTAACAAGCTGTGATTATTTTCTATATAGCTTGGTTTAGTACGTTTGTACGTTAAATTAAAAACAGATGCTTAATATAAAATTCTGTTAACTTCCGTCGTTTCAATTCGAGAATACTCTTAAAAAGGGAGGCTCTCATATGACATAAAAATACGCTGGAACAGCGGAGCACTCTTAAACTACGTTACTCAAGTTTACAGTATAGCTCAGAGGAATAGACGTAGTGTTGTTCTCCACTCGCGGAATGAAAATCCGTGTTCCTTACAACTAGTAACATAAAAGTGCTCCTCGTAAAGCGTGGAAGCGCCTTGAAATGCAATAACAACGTTGAAATTGTTTTACTCTTGATATCTTGAAAAAACTTTACTTATTATGAAGTTAAGAAATGGCGATATTGTAGACACGGTGTCTGTTTATTAAATTTCCATATAATACTTTTTATTTTTCATTGCTTTGTATATGTTTAGCAATTCAACTACTTCCATTTATATTATACTACAAATGCTAGATTATTAAAACTATCTGTTATACATTTATTTAAGATTTTTCCTTAGATTATCTATGATAAAACAACGATGTGACACTACGTTGATAGATTAGCTGTTACAGTGAAAACGATAATGCTAACTAAATTAAGCTACTTTTATTTTTTTTATTGTTTTCCTTATTACTGCGTGTACGTGAGCAGTACACAAGTAAATAAAACACGTTTAACGGTTTTAAACGTGGAATGTATTTTTGACTTACACGTTATTTTCACTACGACTCGATGTATCGAATACGTTGTAGCTGCCGTACAGCTTTTTTAAATTGTCCTTTTCTATAAATAGTTTAATGTACGTTACCTCCGATACATAAATCGCTTATCAATGTTGCCAATAAAGTTTTATGACTATACGTATTTTTCTTACGACGCAAAGACGTTGTCTAGCGGGGTTGGCGTCACTTCGGGTCGATACGTCGCGACGCAAGAAACGGTTGAGCTAACAAAACACCCTCACAAAGGATCTCACACTGTACTCAAAAATGAAATAACGTACTATGAAATCTACCGTAACTTTATAACACTCAAACGTTTTAAGTGCCCACCAAGAGCTCAGAGAGGCATATATTCAAAAGCGTAGTTATTTTTGTTCAACATCAAAGCTAAAGTAATGTTTAGCTGTTAAGTTCGTTATTTGCTTAAATATTATACCGTCAAATGTAAACATTTAAATAAAACACAATATATATTCGTTCAACTTATTTTAGCTAATTAAATCGCGTTTTAAACCGTGGAACTGTTTTATTTAAATGTAATCTACTCGCGTAAACTACAGACATTTTATGTCAACATTGGTAATTATGGCCATTTTAGACCTAGATTCTAGATTCATTTATATACCGCGTTACTAATATATCGCGTTTTAAACCGTTAAAGTGTTTTATTAAATCTATTTATTTATGTTATTTGATAAATGATTGTTGAACTATAATGAGTTATATTCCCTTGTTGCAGTTATCGTCAACCCTAAGCTGCCGCCGGGCACAAAGGAAAGCCCAAAAAGCTTCAACTTTGATTTCTCGTATTGGTCGCACAACGTAAGTATCCATCTGTTAATTTGCATATAATCGAATAATTGACGGACTCACGTCCGTTCTAGGTATTGCATGCATATGTGCTAGTAATTATTAACCTGTTATTTATATTTTGCCGTGGGATATAAGTGACCAATTAAATTAATTATAAGTACATACTTATTATATTTAATGTTTGTTTTTTTTTACATAAGTGTGTACTTAAAATATAAACAAATGGGAGTGCAGTCGTACGTAAAACAAAACTAAGAGTTTAATACCATGTTAATGGATAAAACAGAATGTAATAGTGAAACAGTTTGGTTTAGGGGTTCAACCCTGAATTAGTATAGTTTGAATCTCAGGTTAGAAGAAATGTTACTTCAATTTATGGATAAAAAAATATTTACCTCCATGCCTTAAAGAACACGTTGACCTGATTCTGCTTATCTTTAATTTCACGCACTGCGTAGCGTGGTGGGTCTAAGCTATTCTATAAGATAGAAGACGTAAGGCCCAGTAGTAAAACATTAATAGGCTGAAAGAAATGGAAAGAAATATCTATCCTTGCCTGCGATAATAAAGGTTTTATTTCCTTAACACTAACTTATAGCAGGTGTAATATAAAAGTTATTTTCAGCTTATATTACGTAGGCGCTTTAGCAGTGCATAAGTTTAATTGCTTCTTTATTAATAGCCTGATAAACTATAACTTTTCTCATATACCGCTTTCATACGGAGTTGGGTCGAATCAATAACACAGATTGCCTCCCACGACTCGAATTTCCTCGGCAAATGGCGTCTAGATGGGAACTTAATTGAACTGCGTCATGTTGTGTTTCCATTATCCTTCGAACCTATGCTAAAGTGATTTAATTTAAGTTATAGAGATGGCGTTTATGTAATAGTTAAAAAACACAAGTCACTATATTTTCTATAGCGTAAAAGTAACCGATAGCTAAAATTTAAAACAGAGACATGGTATTTAGATTATAATTTATTACAAACAAAAAATAAAAAAGTTATTTTTTATTTTTCATTATTTTGGCTTGAACTGCAAAATTTGATCATTCGTTTAAAAATAATAAAGTATATCTATGAATGCCTGAAAATCTAAATAAATAGCTCCTTTTTCCACACATATCCACACATATCAACATAGGTTTTTAATGGGATCATATAATCAGTGTTTAGCTGGGATTTACCTAAATCATAATTTAAATGAATATGATATTTGGGACTTTTTTTAATATTTGAAAATCAATGATATTAAGTAAAAGGGCGAGGGCTATAAATGATCGTATTTCATCCTTCCAGTTTAATAATATTACAAATGAATATTAGCATTTTCAATGAAAATCGTAGGATTATGCATATCTATGCAAATTTATGCGATGCTCTCTATTACAGAAATAGCATTGAAGGATTCGAGTAATTTCGTTTATGAAAATATTCAAAATTGCTTTCCTGTTGTGTTGGCTCGGATTACTTTTTGAGATAACGGGTTAAATCAATTAATTTTATGTTATTTAATAATATACGCAAGATATATAACGTGTGTTAAAAATAGGCCTGTAAATGATATAATAATTAATTTGTATTATGTTTTTGTAGCCAAGTGATCCTGAGTTTTCCTCACAAATAATGGTCTACAAAGACATCGGAGAAGAAATGTTGCAGCACGCTTTTGATGGTAATGTTGTATTCAATGTATACCGACGTCCTTAGCGCTCGTTTATTGTAAAAGCCTGAGTTTTAATTCAATAAAAAACTATTCTGTCAGAAATAGCACCCACTTTGTTTTTGACATATGCACAATCAAGTTTATATCTTCCAATCCAACGAAAGATATTTAATAATTTTATTTATGTAAGATTTAAGAGTATAGTCTACATATTTCTTGTTTCGCAGGCTACAATATATGCATATTTGCATACGGGCAAACGGGTGCTGGGAAGTCATACACTATGATGGGGCGTGGCGAAGACGGTCAAGAGGGTATCATTCCACAGATTTGCAAAGACCTTTTCCGGCGCATACGACAAACCACTTCTGAAGACCTCAAATATTCGGTATGTTTTAGCTCATTTCAAGTTAGGTTAACTTTTTCATGACAACAACCAGCATGTTCCTAATTTTATCATATAGTAACCAGATTCGATCAGATTCTGACAACATCTCACATGTTTTAGAAAAAAATATAAATTGATTTAAAGAAATAATTTAGACCTGGTTGAAATGAATTATCAACCATTTGCCTAACGCGACCAGCTATTTAAATTATATTCGAGACATGAACTCGAAACACAAACAAAAGAAGTATGTAACTTGAACATACGAGCACTGTATACTTTGTAGCTCGCTAATGATTGCGTAGTTCGTAGCACTTCTACGTAATTGCGTAGTGAAAGCTACAAGTCTAAAAGCGTAGCATTGTGCTACGTCGTTTCGCTACGATCGTAGTTGGTTAAAAGCTTATTAATTACAGAAACGTTTTTTGTTAACAATAAATTGAGTGAAGTTGTATAAAACCGTTTTTTGAAAATAGCTTAGAAAAGGAGGTTAGCATTAAGAAAATGATAAGGATGACTTAAGTTACCTATGCTATATAAAGTGATCAATTTAAATATTGTATAAGTTTCTAAGACCTTATACGTTGTTTTTTCTGCGTACGGTAACCATGATATTTACTATACAAAATATCATATTTATCTATCCATTCATAAAAAAACTTGGACTAAAGCTACCTAATTTAATCTCTAACAATCTTATGAACATAAACTAACTTTATACGATTATTCGTATGCTCTGCCAGGTGGAGGTCTCATATATGGAGATCTACTGTGAGCGAGTGCGAGACCTGCTCAATCCCAAGAACAAAGGAAATCTGCGAGTCCGTGAACATCCAGCTCTCGGTCCCTACGTGGAGGACCTCAGTAAACTCGCTGTTATGTCCTATCAGGATATTTACGACCTCATTGATGAGGGGAATAAAGCCAGGTATAGTTCCAAGACATATTATAAGTATATGATGATACTATTTCAACAGTCGGCCTATCTTGGCTTAGGATAATTGAATTTCGTAATAAATGATACTATAGACATTAAGAATAAGACAAAAATTTGAAAAATAATTTTATTTTACAAAGCAAAAGAATACTTTCTTACAAGAGTATATAGGCAATATGTTTATACAACATAAAATAAATAAATTCAACGGAATTAAGACAAGGATTAAGGTTAAGTGAACGTGACTTATGATGTTTGACTTTAGTTATGTAATGAGATAAAGGCTTAACGCTCGTACATTTGAATTCTTAATATAATCAACAATGCAAACATCTCTACCCTTCGAGATCACTCACGGTTCGTACAATTAATCTAACCTTGACACACTTCAATGTTGACTTTGCGTTTCTATAATCACGTTATACACTTTCTTTATTAGCTTTCGTCCAATTAAGGGAATTAATTTCAACATAAATCATGATTAAATAAAAGAGAAATGTAAAAAAGGTAAAGTCAAATAGCATCGATTTATTGAAATATGGACACAAGAATTAATGGATATTAAGAAATTTATTTCTGTCTCTAAGTAACTAGAATGCATTTCAAAAGAGAAATTAAATTGGATATTAAAAATCAAAAAACACACGACATCTCAATACTGTTTTTCTTCATATCAATAATGGCACATTTGAAACATTCTCCACAACGCATTACTCGTTGAGACATATTTTTACTTATTGAGTGGTATATATTACATGTATATTGTAATTTCCATGGATTGTAAATAAGTTTTCTTCAATTTGTTGCAGAACTGTAGCTGCTACAAACATGAACGAGACGTCGTCTCGCTCGCACGCTGTATTTACTATCTTCTTTACTCAGCAGCGTCATGACAAAATAACTAATTTGGTCTCCGAAAAGGTATACTGTGTTGCTACAGCTATAGATTCTAAAAACTTTTTACATTATTGTTATCAAATATAAACCCTGGACTTTTCGTCCCCATTGCAGAATTTTTGTTAAAAGCAAACGTTCCTTATTGTAATGTTATTATTTTATTAAAAAAAAATATTAAAAAATTAATTTAGTAAAGTTAATAAACACTCCATAGTAAAATCTTTTAAATCATTGAATATTAAGAAAACAGCTGACCTCTGGGGTACATTTAGTTAACTCTTTAATCGAGATAGTTGCCCCCGAATTAGTTATTTTATTTCACAATTGTGTCGATTTGGTGTGTTCCCAGATTTATTGAAATTTAGTAAATTAACCCGTCTGTTCAAATCGGGTAGTACCTCAGATCTTGAAAAAATAATGCTCAATCAAATGCTAGCTCACTTTAACATAAATAACGGATGCTGGAATTAAGTTATTAGAGAGTATTTACGAAGACGATGTAAACAATGCCCTCTCGAGAGTAGTCCTAATAAACTCTTAAATGGCAACAAAACTAAATGTATCAGATTCACTTTACCTAATGTTAGGTTAGCTAAAGCAAGTGTTAAGGTAAGGGACGACGAGATAGAATTGTTCAATGAAACTGTTTTTCTGGGTAAAACGTTAGACTTCAAACTATAATGGGGATCTCATCTCTCATCAGGAAAGCCTCGAGCAAACTCAGTTCTGCAGCCTTTGCCGTAAAAAAGATCAAACAATTAACAGACATTAAAACAGCGCGTCTAGTCTACTTTAGCTACTTCCACAGTGTTATGGCATATGGCATACTACTGTGGGGTAACAAAAAGCCGGGGCCTATCTATGGTATGGGATCAGAAAATTTATTTCGGGAGTCATTAAGAGATACCTTTAAAATAATCGGCATACTTACTGTGTACTTGCAGTATATTTATGAAAATGTATTGTATGCGCATTAGAATAAAAGCAAGTTTAGCAAGAATAGTGATAGGCATAATTTGAACTTATGAAATAAGGATAACCTAGCTATCCCCAAATATAGGCTCCATAAAATATCTAATTCATTTGCGGGGAATTGTATTCGTATGTACAGTTGAATGTACATTGCCAGTTAAGGTGCCAAATTTATCGATAAATGAATTTAAAAAATTTTAAAAGTTAGATTGTCTCAAAAGGCGTATTATTGTCTGAACGATTTCTTTAATAACAAGACCGCCTGGTAGTAATATGAACTGCTCCTTAGGTTAATAAATACACAATGTATCATTTAATAAGACATGTTAAAAAAAGCCGGACTGAGTTTCTTTCGTGTTCTTCTCAGTTATGTTGCTCTGTTGAACACTCTGTAGAATCACGACTTACAGACGACATAAAAAAATTAGAATAATTTTTAAAATTTTAAAGAAAATAAGGTATATTATTTATTTAATTTATATATGTATATAGACTATATCATAATAAGGGCAGTACCTACCTGTCTCTCTCTTAAAACCTTTATCCTATAATTATGCAAGCATTTCTGGGTCTGTAAAAGTAATATAGAATGGCATACCGGGCTTACTGGCAACAATACGCAATACGGGGATTGTGAGTTCGACTATCGCCCGTTTTTTTCCAATCCAAAACAAGGTTATATTTAAATTAACAGTGTGTCTTGTCGTACATTTTTCATATTTGGATTTTCGTACACATTTATTGTTATATTATACATATATCTTTTGTATGTGACAGGTGTCTAAAATATCGCTAGTGGATCTAGCGGGTTCTGAGCGAGCGGACTCAACAGGAGCGAAAGGCACACGGCTCAAAGAAGGGGCTAACATCAACAAATCTTTGACTACCCTCGGAAAAGTCATTTCAGCGCTTGCTGAGATTGTAAGTAACGTGGTTTGGAAATATATCGTCATTATTACTACAACTTTCATAGTTTTTCTTTAAATCAAAGATTAAGAATCAGTTTTCTGTTAGTGAAGGGCATTATTTTAAACCCTTTTTTGTTTATGAGTGAATTGGTAAAGAATAAAAAAAATCATATAAAATATTATGTTGCCTAAAATAAGAAAAAAAAAAACACTTTGTTTAGAAGACAATTACGGTTCAAAGAAAGGTGTTACTTTTTTATATTATTTATATAATTTTATGCATACCCATGTTTACCAAATTCATACATTGTTATTAATTATACAAAACTTCATTAACTTACTTTTCAATGCTTCTAACCATATCGCTTTTATTTATTTGGAACTTAACGATACATCATGAGTGGTTGTATATTCTGTACTTGCTAGCTAAACACTAATTTCGAATGTTTGATGCAACTCTTGTACCTACTTGGAAACGAATAGTCGGTAAGTTGAATGTTTGATGTGTGGTTCTGCTTCACCTTTGTTTTCTACCATTATTCATGTCTTATGTTACGGTGTCAAAATGAACAGAGTAAATCTATAAAACTATAAATTAAAATTTATAAATATGCTATTGTATCTAAGAAGCGGTGTGACTGGGCCTAAAAGTTCATTAGCACTTTAAAAATAAACAACATTGACGTAAGACAGTAAGTTGTTGTTTTGTTTAATCGCAAAATAGTAATATTGGCATTACACCTCAAAACTTATTATCCACTACATTGTTATCAAATGAAGTCTATCACATTGTTACGAATGAAGGTTCCTTTAATTTCGAGAACCCCGATAATCCATTTAGAAACCTTAAAAAAATAGTTGCACAGATTACTAGAGTACTTTGTCTTGAAACCTTAGAAGTTCTTGTAGTGCACCGTTATACCCAAAACAGTAAATAGCTGATTTAAGTTGCCTTACGATAAATGAGGTTGATTGTACTATTGTAGACCAATGATTAATATCGTCTTGAAAAATTTACTCATATATTTTAAATCTATAGGCATCAAAAAGCAAGAAGTCGAAAAAGGCTGATTTTATACCATACCGTGACTCGGTGCTCACGTGGCTACTTCGAGAGAATCTTGGTGGAAACTCCAAGACAGCTATGATTGCCGCCATCTCGCCAGCGGATATCAACTACGATGAAACCCTTAGTACTCTGAGGTGAGTTAATTTTTCAATTTACATCAATCTAAGCATAATTATATAAAATAAGTGGTTGGAATTAAATTACATTATTTGTATTCTAAACTTTGTATGGATAACTTTTATAAATTAAAAATCTATTAAGATTGACGGTAGACGCGTGACATCAACCGGCTTTAAGACATTCGACGATGACATGTAGGAAACGGTAGGTTAATTGGTCAGAGCAACAGCACGGAACGCCGTGGATGCCGGTTCAAGTCACGCCTGTATCGTTAAATATATGTCAAATATTGAGGTTTTCAAAGGTATCTTTTATTTTAAATATAATCTGTGGTTTACGCGAGTAGTACGTTTAAATAAAACACTTTACGGCTTAAAATTTATTAGTTAAACTTATTTTTACTAAGGCTCGACGTTTCGGGTGCTTTGCAGCAGCCGTGTTTGCAGGGTTGATTTTAAAATAAGTTTAACTGTATGAAATGTATTAGTCAGCTTACAAATTGGATAATCCATTATATCTGTTTAGGTATGCCGATCGCGCTAAACAAATCGTCTGCAAAGCTGTCGTCAATGAAGACGCGAACGCTAAACTCATCCGCGAGCTCAAGGAGGAAATACTCAAACTCCGAGAGCTCCTCAAGGCTGAAGGCATCGATGTTGAGGAAGGTAAGGGATTAATCATGCTATATTAGCCTTAGTCATGTGATATAGGGTGTCTTGTGGATGTGTTAGACTAACAATTCGGAGTTGCGGTGTTTCAGAAGTGTCAACACTTTTAGGTTATGAAGGTTGATTTAGGTACACGGGTAGTGATGATGTGTAGAATTAGCTCGTATAAGCACTACAAGAAGCTCATTTAGGAACTCATTAGGTTTTTATCGCTGCTCCGAATTCTCAGTCGCCGTGTGACTAACGATAGAAATAACGCCACAAACAAACAATCAAATGTCGTTACTAACCTCCGAAAATTTTGTTTTCAAACGCAAAGGCCCAGACGGTAGAGTTGTTTATGAAAAGAAAGAAAGTACCAGTAAGTAAAGAGGCTTTCGCATACGTACACCCCACCTGTACCGCTTCGCCTCAGAGGGTTGCCAGCGTGATGCGAATAAAATAAACTGGCAACCCCACACGAAATAAAGCAATGACGCACCCTGTCCGAAGCTTGTGGCGTTGTAGATACATTGACACTGTCTGTAGGTGTTTTCGGTATCAAATACGTCAAGGAGAGTATTATTAGAAAAAGTTCTGAGTATTTGGGTTTCTCTCTCGACCGACCGGCGTAATTGAAAAATGGTTATCGGCGTTTTTCCAATATGCAAACGAGCAAGTGACGTCATCAAGTGATGTTAGAATATCTTGACAGTTTTAAAATATGGCCGCGAAAGCTTTAAATATAGTTTTAACCTTTTTTATTAAATCTCCATTAATATATAATATCCTTATAAATAACTATGATAAAATACTTAATTGTTATAAACCTCCTTGATGTATTGAAATCTTTTACCGATACACCTACTCGTAAGAACGAATATATTTGTAAATGAAGTCTGCTTTTATCTTGAGTGTTGGGTTTTACGCAATACATGTAAAACATTATTAGTATAATCCTACAAACACCGAAGGAATATATTATTTAAGTTTATGAATCTTGCAACTGAGCATTCAAAGACTGCGCAAAAGATTACGGCCTTATATTATTCATGTAAAGATACAATTGTGCGGTACTTCACAACGAATTAACCTTTTTCAATGCTCAGTTATTTAGTGTAAAAATTATATTATGTATCACGTTTATTACAAATCCTTCGAGGCTTTACTAGATTCTATTGATATATTTACTAAACAGCGTACGCTCCCTGACTGCGTAAAATGAAATTGTATTCAAAGAGTTCTTTCGCTTCAATGGCTTCTACTTTACATATTGCATGTGATGCTTTATGTGTATTTCCTTCTTTGTTAATTATTATTCATATTGAAATGGAACACTTTTAACGGATTTAAACGCAAAATATATCGAACTTATTTTTTAAATAATTTCACTACGGCCCGACGTTTCGGATGCTTTGCAGCAGGCATGGCCAAGGGACGATTAGAGACTGAGGGGCCCCGAAATATCCTCATGTAAGAATTAGCTAGTTCCTAGTTAGGAGATTTGACTTTGACATTATGATTAATGACATCCACCGTCATTGACCACGGCTGCTGTAAAGCATCCCAAACGTCGGGCCATGGTTAAATTAAATTAAAAATAGTTTATCTAATATATTTCGCGTTTTGAACCATTAAAAGTGTTTTATTTAAATGTATACTCTTGAAGTAACAAACAAGATTATTATTCATACTGACAATACGTTCTATTCCCTTTTATTCGTCAGAAGTAGGTTTTAAAAAGCATATAAGACTTATAAGCGGGTTTATAAATGCATTGAAAAATGATAGCAGAGCCTTCGCCCATGCGCAAGAAGAGTGAGGAAGAAGTGCTTTCGCCAAAGCTGTCTCGTGCGGCCACCACGATCGCTGAAGAGGCTGTTGACCAGCTGCAGGCTTCTGAGAAACTTATTGCTGGTATGTATTTAATCTTTATTTATTGGATTGTAATAGTCTTTGACCATTTCTTTGACCTTTCAAAATACTTTCTAGGGCTTGTCTAAATTTCTTTAAAACAAAATACTTTTATTTAAAAGGCGTAATAGGATTTCTAAGAGATGTTCGCCTCAAAACTTTTGACAGCTCTCTCAGATTCATATTGACATTCTCAAATTGATGTGAAAGTTTACTTAAAAACTTGGTAAACGGATCTGACAGTTCGTTTGGCTGGGAGTTTGCTCAAGGTGTTTTGCAAGTTTGGTTTACGTTATAATATACCCTGTTTTTTACTCGGTATAATTTCTGGCTTTTGTTCAAGGATGTTGTGCCCTAAATATATTCAATAATATTTGAATTGTCTGGATTTTAGTTGAGTTTATAGTGAGTTTATAATAATTATTATTTTGGTTTAAACCCTCTACATTAAAAACAGTCTGTTGATTTTTATATCACCAAATTACTTAAAACGCCTGCCGAAGGCTATTTATTAGTTCTATATATAATGTATTTTCTCATTTATAGAACTTAATGAGACGTGGGAGGAAAAACTGAAACGCACCGAACAAATCCGAGTGCAACGCGAAGCGGTGTTTGCGGAGATGGGTCTCGCTGTAAAAGAAGGAATCACTGTCGGGGTTTACTCGCCTAAAAAGACGCCGCATTTGGTCAACCTCAATGAAGATCCTAACCTCTCTGAGTGTCTTATTTACTATATCAAGGATGGTGAGTATCGAGCACTTAGCTACTATATAGAACGATAGCTGTGTCGGCGACTTCGTCCGCGTAGAATAGATTTTTGGTCATCAGAATTGCAAACATCCTCAACTTTATAAAATTTATTACTCCTCCAATGCGACCAATAGAAAGTCGGATCGTTATGCTTTTTAGCCTTAAGCTTGCCTTGATAAATGCTCTAACCAACACAAAAATTATATTTCAATTCGAACCATTTGTTCCTGAGATTAGTTAAAACAAACTTTCTATTTTATATATTATAGGTTATATAGGGTTTGAATCAAAGTAGGATAGGAGATTATTTCAATCTAACTAGGGTAGTCACAAACTTGGCAAACCGACTAACCTAATACTTGTGACATCGTCCTATCCATCTTATCTGCTTTATATAGCAGCGGAAACTGGATTAAATCATATAATACTCGTATCTATATTTAATTGTGTCTTACTTTTAGATAACTACAAATGTATGTTTTTTAATTAATTAAAATTCTTGACATTTCCATAATTTTTCCTACTTTCCTGATTCCAAAAACAGTGCCTATAAACTATTTCTCTATTTACTTTGGCAGGTATAACTCGCGTCGGGACGGCGGAAGCGAATGTGCCGCAAGACATTCAGTTGTCAGGTTCGCACATTGTGAGCGAACATTGCATATTCGAGAATACGGATGGCGTCATCTGCCTCATTCCGCATCGTGGGGCACTTGTCTATGTTAATGGCAGAGAGGTAACATGTTCATTTATCCTGAAGTCCAAGACGGTGAAAGAGAGAGTGAGAAAAGAAAACTTGATTAAGAAGTACAATTTATTATAAGATAAATTTTGATGTTATCAATACTCAAAATTTATCTTATAACCCTCGAGGGTAGTTGATGTAACTACCCTCCTGATTGTGGCCGCTGAAAGTAATGTAAAACGTCGATTCGTCCTGTATTAAATTGTGATGAGTATGATTATGGGTATCACAAACTATTCAGGTTTAACGCGTTTTATTTAAGATGTATAGACTATTTGAATTGTTGAATACTGTACTTAAGTATCTTAATACTTCTACTAAAGAAATATATTATTTTCAGGTGAATGAGCCGATCATCCTCAAAACTGGATCTCGTGTTATACTTGGCAAAAACCACGTTTTTCGTTTCACGCATCCTGGTCAACCACGTGAGGAACCACTTAACAACAAATTGCTGGCTGATTCTCCAGGGGTTGTCGAAGAAAGTTAGTTCTTGCTCAGCATTTTAATTAATTTTTTTTTCCTTATCATTTATAATTATTTTTTTGTTCTTGTATTATAAGTTATCAGAGTTTTAAAAAATATTCTAATCCCGGTACCCGCCGTGGGGTATGGGGCGAAAAAACCCCCCCTGATGTCGTTACACTATTGTATTAAAGCATATTATACAGACTTTATATCCTGCCCCACCGAATTGTTCCAGATAAACTCAAACTTCTCGCTACAATTTTTTTTATTTATTTTTACAAACAATTCACAATTTAAAAACATTTTTTTTTTAAACCTTATAACGGTTTTTAATCTCCGCTGGTCATATAGAAATTATTATTTTAACTAAAATTAAATTAAAATTAACAATCGGCAAACAATATAACAGTATTAACTAAATATAAAACGGCTAAAGCAACTGCCTTGCTTCTTCCCGTATCTTTTACTAGATTACTGTGCGTGTGTTCATTAACTTTCATACAAGGGCAATGGATAAGTTCGTGTGCGTTTGCCGTAAGCATTAAAAGGGGGCAACATATCTAGGCAAATAATGCAAACAATGGTAAGCTACACTTTTAACCGTTAGCTACATCTAACTAACCGGTTTTTATTTAAATAAAAAATAAACATTTAAATAAAGTACTTAACGATTTAAACGCGATATATTTACTTATTAGAAATCAACTTCGGCCCGACGTTGTCTCCCCGTCCACTGCTGCCCGAAACGCAATGCTAACTAAGCCATATCACTTTTAACCGTTAGAGTGTTTTTTTTACATTAATTAACTATACGGGTTTTTTTTTTTTTAATTTGAACAGCATTGCGTATTATACATCTTCCTTGTTTTGTAAAGTAATAAAGATGTTTTTAAATTGTGTCTTTCTGTTTGATAGAAGAGAGTGACACTGAGAACGAGAACGTAGACTGGGACTTCGCGCAGTGCGAGTTGCTGGAGAAGCAAGGCATCGATCTCAAACAGGAGATGCAAAAACGTTTGTGCGTACTCGAAGAGCAGTTCCGTAAAGAGAAGGAGCATGCTGACCAGCAGTTTGAGGAGCAAAGAAAGGTAACGGCGATCTGTCCCCAATTTATGTTATTGAGACAACGCAAGGTTTGAAATGCGAAATATGTTAGTTGGACGTGATTTAAAAATTATGTTTACTAAGGCCCGATGTTTCGGATGCTATGCAACAGCCGTGGTCACGGAGAGATTAACGATAGTAGGTGTCTCTAAAGTCATAGTAAAACCTACTACGCTAGCGCCATCTGTGTAGTCCTATTTGGTATTCGCTATATACCAACTACGACTAAATAACGATAGATAGATAATCTTCGCGTGATCATGGTTTCTGCAAAGCATTCGAAAAGCCGAGTGATTAGTTAAAATAATTTTAATAAGTTTAACCAATATATGTCGCGTTTAAACCGTTGAAGTCCTTTATTTAAATGTGTATTACTCGCGTATAGTAAGTAAAGCGTAAAAATGTACAGATAATACTTACTTTTGTATAATATTATAGAACTACGAAGCTCGCATCGACGCACTTCAGCGTCAGGTGGAGGAGCAAAGTGTCACCATGTCGATGTATAGCTCCTATACACCGGAAGATTTCCACAACGACGAGGATATATTTGGTGAGTTTTGAAAATTCTGCGAATCAAACTCTGGCACAAAGACTTTCGTAACAATACGTAACGTAATTGTACGCTACGCTACGCGCCATACTTTCTTTTAACCCTCTGTTACAGACCAACCCCTACAAAATACCAAGTCACCTTTTATTTCCAAAAATAATTTGACTTTTTGTGTGTAACGAATAAGTTGACCATTCTTGACTTTGATTTGACTGTAGTCTACTCTTATTGTTAGTTACTAGTTGAAATGTCTAGTATAGCGTATAATTTGAAGGAAAGTATTGATCAACAGGGCACAGATATAGATCACATTTTAATAAAACTAAATTTACGCATAAAAGCTTAATCTTTTATGAATATGTGGATTAATTCTACACAATGATTATCTGATACTTTCTTTTTAGTAAATACATATTTTTATTGAATTTAACCGATTAAATCATACATTTCTTAATAGTGAACCCACTATTCGAGACAGAATGTTGGTCGGCTCGCGAGGTGGGGCTGGCTGCGTGGGCCTTCCGCAAGTGGAAATACCACCAGTTCACTTCGCTCAGAGACGATCTTTGGGGCAACGCGATCTTCCTTAAGGTACTAACTGCTAGTTCTCCCTACCCGCAGAGACAACGCTATCGTGTCTCGGGCGATAGATAGTATTGTTTGACGGTATAAAAAAACATTTTTTTTTAATCCTCGTGTAAACGCCCGTATAAAATGAGCCAGACCTTAAAAAAAGTTTATCTAAATTAAGTAATAAAAAAATAAGTATTCACCTCCTTACAGGAAGCCAACGCGATTTCCGTAGAGCTCCGCAAGAAGGTCCAATTCCAATTCACCTTGCTAACCGACACGCCGTACTCGCCCCTTCCGGCTGAGTTGGCACCCCGCGACGACGCTGATGATGAGTATCGCCCCAGCGCACCCACGGTCGTCGCCGTCGAAGTAACGGACACCAAGAATGGCGCAACGCACTACTGGACTTTGGAAAAGCTACGGTAAGTCTGTAGTCCTAATTCCTTTGGTAGTGTGACACGGATCTTGGCGTGTCAAGGTCGTTTCGACTATTTTGGAATTTCTTCTGGAACTGTATTTAGTCATTGCGATCGTATATACAGTTGAGTAGAGTGCATGCACAGTTTTGGTTTTGGGACTCCACTAAGTAAAAAAAAAATTAGTGGTATGGAAAGTGAAATACGAGGTCCAAATACGTTATATTTATTAGTTTTTACCTTTAAAATAGATTCATCTAAATAATTTTGAGAATTTAGAAGTTAAATTAGGTTTATACAATCTTGGTTGTTATAATAGACTTCAACATAATATGTACAGTTTCTTCTTTTTATTATATACAGTTTATTCTATTTATTATCTTTATTTACAAGTTATGTTATAAATACGTTTTATTATAGTTAATTCTTATAATACATTAATAAATTCTTAATGTGTATTCTATTCTATATTATTATATATGTGTACACAACATCAGTATTCTATTCTATATAACGTATTCTTTTCCTGTCTATTTATATTGGTTTTTATTTGTTTTGCCTTTTTTCTTACTTAACAGTGTCGATTTCTTTTTATCTTTGTACTTTTTAACCTAACTCTGTACGTATTTCATATTTATGCTATATTGCGTTGACGATATATTTATTATATAAGTATTTTTTAATTCTCAAGTAGTAGGTGAGTATAGCATTAAAAATATATATTATGTCTAGTTCCCAACGCCTTATACATAGCGCTTCTTTTATTTGCTGCTTTTTTATTTCGTTTCCAGACGCCATTATACTAAAATTATAGTATAGATAATTATGTATTCACTAACACAAACATAAAATCGAGATGTCGTTATCTTATATTTATGAACCCTGGTAGGGTACGTAGGGTTAAATTAAAGGGTAGAAGGGTGTCAGCAAAGCGGATATTTTTCATAGACATCGTCTGGAGCTCATGCGCCAGATTTACAACATGAACGAGTCAGCATGTTCTGAGGATGATGAACCGACCCCCACCATAAGGCCGCCCTCGCCACCCATCCAACAAACACCGAAACCCGACGCAGATCTCTTGCAGTGCATATCGGCGTGCGCGCAACAGACTCGACTATCGCTTGTCAACTTGTTACCTTCGAGGTTTGTTCTACCTCAAGGGAGAAACAATACAGCATAACATTGGCATAAAAAAGAACATCAGGTTTCCATTGGACTCTAAGGTTTACGATATACGTTTACGCAAAAATGTTATCAAGAAATGGTAGGGGACAGATGCAGTCTGTTTTGTTTCTGCCTGGACCGGAAAATGATGTATATACGCACAATAGTGCCGCGCACATCACGCTGTGCTGTTGGAGGCTTATTTGAGATAACTGCTATGTGAATGTCACTGTAACCTCAAGAGCTAATTAGTGTCTTGTACACGTCTACATTATCGTATGGCTGGATTATATCGCTTTGTCAAAATGTTATTTCTAAAGAATTGCACGCCAAAACACGTATCAGCCATCAAAAAAGTACGGGTTACTACAAACTATATTTACCCCCCTTCTTATGTTCATTCGATTCAATATTTGGCGTTTCATGTTATTAGTGCGCATGTGCTAAAGCTTAGCTAATAAGATACTTAAAAGTTGCACGAATACCTTGTTTGTATTTTCGCGATTAATGTTTATTGGATATCAGAAGTCACTTTAATGTGATTTTCTATTTTAAGTAGTTCTTCATAGAGGTGTTGTACTATTTGTTTCCTTTGACAGACAACGCCTGGAGCTAATGCGCGAGATGTACCACAACGAAGCGGAGCTGTCCCCGACCTCCCCCGATCATAACATCGAATCCGTTACGGGTGGCGATCCGTTCTATGACCGATTCCCTTGGTTCCGCCTAGTGGGAAGGTAACACTTTATTTTCTTTACCAAGCATTACGTTACGTTTCTTTCATACTCACATATTTCTGATTGTTAACAGGAGCTTTGTCTACCTTTCGAATCTTCTGTATCCGGTTCCCCTCATTCATAAAGTGGCGATAGTGAATGAGAAAGGAGACGTTAAAGGTTACCTGAGAGTAGCTGTGCAGGCGGTCGTCGACGCTGAAAAGAGTGAGTTGGAAATTAATATAGTAAATTTCGTAACCGGCTCGAAGGACCAAATTATATACTACGCTATTTATATTGTACTTACTTTACTGATCATAGTCATAGGCAAGTAAACAAGGTGAAATTACTTTCAGATAATGCAGACTTCGTAGCGGGTGTGAAGCAGTCCGCAAAAATATCATTCGATGACGACATCGTCCCAACAAGGTCACGATTGAAGACCTTGTCTACTACAGAAAAGAATAACGCCATCAATTTGGAAGATCGACCCGAGCAGGATTCTAATATTAAAATCGAAGGTGAATATATATTATAGAAACCAAGGACGGGTAGATGACATAAAATATTGATGGTTTTTATTCCTACCTTCGTTCGTGTTGCACAACTTTTTATCGTTTGACATCAATTATTTAAGGTTTTTGCTTTGTTGTATTTGGTCGGTTTCTAATAAACCATATATGCATTGAAACAATATTAAAATATTGTTTGCATTGTATGTACTCATAGTATTAGATCTACTAACTTAAATGTGTAGATTAAAATTATGATTAGTGTAGTGTGATGCAACCTTTATAAGTGCGTTTCAAGTGACGAAATATCTCATCTCATTTAAGAATTTACAACTAAATAAACAGTTTAACAAATATTGTCTTATGTTCTAAGTTTCTATGCTTGTAGAATTAGCAGCTGCTGAATGTGACGCTGACAGCGGTCGTGGGGACAGTTCCCTCGCCTCGGAGCTGAAGGAAGATGAACTACCAGAACACCTGACTCCTGGCAAGGAGTTCACCTTCCGCGTGACTGTGCTTCAGGCACATAGCGTATCCACCGATTACGCTGATGTATTCTGTCAATTCAAGTGGGTCCTACCCCTATTTAACGGCCTTAAATTGTCTCCAAAATCTATAATTTCCTATTTAATGATAAATAACTTGAAAGAAATGTATGCAGCTTATTAAACCTTTACATTAATGTTTAGTGGATTTTAATAATTTTTTGGGTAAATATATATTCTTATGTTTCAGTTTCCTTCATCGAAACGAGGACGCCTTTTCAACCGAACCAGTTAAAAATGCTGGCAAGAACACACCACTCGGCTTCTATCATGTACAGAATGTAAGCTGCTTGTCAAGAGTAAAATGAAATCAACCTTATTTATATTGTGAAATATAATAATATTTTTTTGTTCTTTCAGATAACTGTACCGGTAACTAAATCGTTCGTTGAATACATTAAAACACAACCAATAGTCTTTGAAGTGTTTGGACATTATCAGCAACATCCTCTACACAAGGTCAGTTGTGGTGCCAAAAAAATCATTGTTTATTTTAGCTTACATATATAAAAAACATTCTCGTCTACCCTCTTATGATACACTTTTTTTTTAAACAGGATGCCAAACAGGACGGACCTGTAGCTGGACGTACGCCACCAAGACGAATGCTGCCACCTTCAATTCCCATTTCAGCCCCAGTCCGAAGCCCTAAGTGGGGCGCTGCGAGCGTCGCTCCGCCCTGCTGCTCCTCCCACTTACATTCCAAGCACGATCTACTCGTCTGGTTTGAAATTTGCGAGCTTGCGCCCAATGGAGAATATGTCCCTGCAGTAAGTACCAAATTATTTATGTCAAAAGGCTTATGGTTAAGGTTTATTTGTAAAACACAACCGGATACCAAAGCAGTATCTTAACAGGAGCATTCGTAGTTTAAATGTAAAAAACTAAAGATCGGTAGTTTAATATTAGTTGTATTCATGTTTCTTCAGCACTTCGTTTAAACCTTTAAAATAACATTGTGTTGTAACTTATACATAATATAATAGTTTACGAAGCAAATCAAATTATTAATGTGTAAAAGAACACTAACTTCAGTTTTATATATTATTGTTTTCAGGCTGTTCGGCCGATTGAGCGAGAAGAGGTTCTTGACTTTCATGCATTCTTCGAGCAATCGAGGAGTCAACATCTCCTCTCCGCTCACATCGGCCGAACAGCCCGAAAGACAATAATATGCTGATCGATGGCCGTGAAAGCCTTACTCAATTTATTTTTTGTCAGTTTTATATTGATAAAGGAGGACAGACAATGCAAGGGGTTGACTTGATGGGATTTGAAATACCCCAGCCAATGTGAAATATACCATCTATACAAGATGTGCTGTTGACCTATTTTGGTTTGGGATATGATCAAAAACAATGAGTTTCTTTAACTTCTTTGTCATATGTTAATAAAATACAATATATTTCCAGGTGTTTGAGCACAGCGACGAGCTGCCTTGTCGCGGACTATTCCTCCTGCATCAGGGCATACAGAGACGTATCCGTATAACAATCTTGCACGAACCGTCCTCAGACCTCCAGTGGACTGATGTTAGGGAACTGGTTGTTGGTAAGGAAACTATATATGGACTTGTGGTAGAGCTAAGCCGAAACTTTATGTCAGGGGGTTTGAATTGTATTTTTTTTTATATATGGAAGGCGACAAATCATGTAATTATGGGCCCTAATACAAGTTGCCGACTGAAATAGTAATGTATACATTTAACATTTCTTCAAACACTATAATAAAAAAGTTCAGATAGCTTAAAAGGCTTCGTTTATGTTAATCCCCATGTTATTCTTTTTTAATTTTCCTATTTTTTTTTTAAGTGTGGGAATTCTAGATTGGTAATTGTTTATTTGTAGGACGCATTCGCAACTCACCTGAGGCCAACGAAGACACGACTGACGGAGATGAAGATGGGGCCTTGTCCCTTGGCCTGTTCCCAGGGGAACGGCCAAATCTTGACGATCGCGCTGTATTCAGGTAGAAATATGTTTTGTTCATATTGGTTGTATAAACGTTAATTACACAGTGGATTAAATATTACTATTATTGCCTTTGAAAAAGATTTGCAGATCGCTTTCATCGCACGGTTGGAACCAGACTTTATCTCGCTACCGTTATTTCAAAATATCAAGTTGTCCATCCATTATATCTCAATAACAGTTTGTCAAACGCCAATGCCACTATATTGACCATACTCAATTCCTTAAGACTTTTCTTATATTTCAGACTAAGTTCTCTTCTTCAATTGCGAGTGGATGTGATTTAACTATGCATATTGCATTGTCTACAGATTTGAAGCCGCGTGGGACAGCAGTCTGCATGGTTCTCCGTTGCTCAACCGAGTTAGCGCCAACGGTGAAGTTGTCTATATCACACTCAGCGCTTATCTCGAGGTATTTATTTTTTAGTTTTGTCTTACTCGTTGTAATCTCTACTCAGATTTACTGAATCAAAAATCGAATAAGATTAATAGAAATTAACGACAGGGGCGGAACTTTAGGCGGCACCCATAGCTATCCGTGTTGCTGCTCTAATCAATTGAGCTACGTCTCTCACACGTCATTGTCGAACATCTTCATACATGATTGATGCTCGCGCAATGTGATTTAAACCTTAATACTTACGCATTGAGGTCTGTTTAGATTTATTAGGTAACTAACTAATTCTTATTTTTCCTAGATCGAGAACTGCGGTCGTCCAGCGATAGTAACGAAGGACCTCTCGGTGGTAGTGGTGGGTCGTGAAGCTCGCACGGGCCGCTCGTTGCGCCGAGCACTCTTTGGCTCGAAAACCGCAAGGGCGGACCGGCTCACCGGAGTCTACGAGTTGAGCCTACATCGCGCTTTGGAACCAGGTTCGTCATTTTTATAATAGAGAAGGATAAGCAAGCATGACGTTCAATTGATAGGGGTATAACCCAGCAATATAACATCTAAAGAAGATACGCTGTCGACCTGCTTATTATACCTGGATAGTTAAATATATCTTTTAATATTATAAGTATATTAAAAGGGTGTTTAATCTTATATATATTATGTTATTGTGTGGTTTAAAGTTGTTGTAAATGAATTTATTTCTCCCTCTTATTTCTTAAAAGAATACAAAAAGTACATTATAGTTATCAGTCCTGTCAAATGTTAGGAGTTGTTTGTAATCCGTCATGTTAAACGTTTTGATTACTACTTAGGCGTACAACGCCGTCAGCGGCGTGTACTCGATACGAGCGGAACTTATGTCCGTGGAGAGGAAAACCTGCACGGCTGGAGACCACGCGGCGACTCGCTCATATTCGATCACCAGGTACTTTCATCACCTCGTCTGTGCAACACTGTAGAGTACCTATTGTCTTGATATGTGCATGACGGTTGGCGTCATCGTACCAGAGTCATATTTATCGATATCGACAAATTTTTGCGCTTGGAACATACCTTTACTATTAATTTAGATCCTGATTCACGTTGAACACTATTACTAGTTTAATTAAGTTTAAAGCTTACACATATTTAAAGTACGTTTTAATTAGTTAAAATTGTATTTAAATTTTTCGAATGATATCGATGAATATGAAAACGCTCTAAAGCATCATGTATAGGCTGTGAATATGCACTGAGAAGGTTTGAAACACCGTTTTTTGAGCAAACACTTTTCGAATAATAACTTCTCAAAAGAAAACTGTTGAATTGATTTTCATGAAAATATACCATACTGATTGTATTATTTACTACAATCGTGTACGTTTGATTGCTAATACGTCTTGTCTCAATAAGCTAGTAGTGTTAGCGTTCTTGGTTGCTCTGCTGTATCCAATCGTAGTGCCAAACAAAGAGTCAGTTTTTGGAAAATTTTCGGCGTGACAACGTCTTCGGTTGTCAATTGTTTTGTAAACTTCATATTGATTATAATATACACGTTGTTTAATAAGACTTACGAAACGAAATACAAAAAGTAACAGCGCTTTCAGGGGCTTCGAACATTTATATTTAAATAAGTTTCCCTTGGAAAAGATAATAACTAATATGTCTTTGTTTTACAAAATGGCGGGCTAAATTAAGGCGGGAACAAAGTATCGAATGTGACTTGTAAATGATGTTGATAATAATTTAACTGTAAGTTGCGCAAAACATGTAATATATATGGAAAGGATGTTGTGTGGTTTAGAAACTCAAATAAATACTTTCTTTATAAATTCAGTATGCAGCATAACCTTTCATAATTGTGAGATTGTGTGAAGTGTTAAATATAAAAAAGTTCGTATTGACAGAGTGATCGGCACATTTTTCTTATTATGCTATCACATATAACATACGTCATGTCTAAGTATTTTTATACACATTTTTATATAGAACATCAAGATTTAAATAAAACACAGACTGTTAAATTAAAGTTGGTAAAGACATTATATACGCTAATCTGTTGAGTAAGTCTCATATTGCATAATCTATGGTATTGGGACGCGTCCGCAAGGGTTGTTGTTTGACAGTTTCTTGAAGCTGACTAAGCAGTTAAAGTTTTTATCTCGTTTCTTGGGTAATAAATTCAGACATTGTTACGCCCCTTTGACGTGAAGCACCAAACGGCCATTAACAATAATATTCTTTCTCACTCGTACAGAAACGCATTTGGCGCAAAGTGATGTATGATTGGCCGCTCGACGTTATCGATAGATTGCAGGTCCACAAATGTTTTCTTAGCTATTTAGTATGTGCGCAATCACTCACTCGATGTCCTCAACCATTCATACTAAATAGCTACTGAAAGTTATTTGTGTACTGGCCATTCTCATCTTCATATTCACCCGGGGTCACATATTCTTTCATACATTCTCCAAGCTTACTTTGATAGTAGGAGTTTTAGATTAACTTATTCTATGCGTGTAAGAGAATGCGCTGTATGGCATATGTTATGTAGCTTTTGTCATAACGGTTAGAGATCAGCTTTTGTTATTTAGGATGTGTGGCGTGTCAAAGTGCTTTGTTGCTGAGCATGAATACAAGTAATTATGTAATATTTTTGCTTCCTATAGCATGTTTTAAATAAAGCAAACAGATCATAAGGAACATTCAGACAAGCACAAATTCCTTCGTATTTGTTAAAGGGTGCTAAAGCGATCTGTTTTTCAGTGGGAACTAGAGAAAATGACTCGGCTCGAACAAGTTGGACGGACGCGCCACTTATTGGCTCTTCGTGAGCGACTCAGGCACGGACACGAGAACACCGTGGCTCCCAACGATTTTACAAAAACAGAAAAGGTATGCCCCTCTTCGAAATTATTGTAATACGGTTATGGTAAACGCTATCGCGATATTTATGACATTGTTTTCAGGAGGTATGCAATATGGCGGCGAAGGCTGCCTCTGAGTGCGCACACGCACGTGACGAAGCCCTGTACGAACCCTGGGAGATGACACAGAAGGAGAAGGAACTTACTACTAAATATATTAAGCTGATACAAGGTAAGACATGATACATTTTAGTCAGAAAAAGTAATAGTGTGTCGTTTAAAAAAATATTTTTTGTATATAATTGGAATAATGAGAATAAGCTACATAATTGCTGATGTCATTTTAGGTCGAATAGGCACAAACACAAACAAAGAGGTAGAGACGGCGGTGTCGCCCGCGACGCCAGTAGACGAAGGAGTGTCTGCTGACATTTCTACACCCAGTCTACTGTCCTCTATACACAGCGCTAGCAGCTTTGAGTGAGTTTTTCGTATTCTAATTTACCAATTTCTTTTTTTATTCTTTCTTAATTTACGTAATTTGAGAAATGATTTGTAAATATGGCAATTTTCTGTTGCTAAGTCGCCAAAAAGCCTATAAAGTAGCATTCAAATGACGAATCTAATATGACTTGCCTCCCACAGACTGTGTTCGCCGGAACGAGCACTATTAGAGAAGTCCATATCGGGATGGGGGTGCGGCGTGGGTGCACCAATGGGCCCGATGTCGGTGTCGGGCTTGGGCGTGGGAGGGGCGCTGTACGTGCCCGAGTGCGAAGAGGTGCGCGTGTCCGCCGCGGTGGCACGACGTGGATATCTTAATGTCCTCCAACACGGTACACACGGGTGGAAGAAGCGATGGCTGGTAAATATTTATTTTTTTTATTCATTTCTATGCATAAAATAAGAGTAAGTTATAATTATATTTTAAAGTTTTAAAGAAAATAGATGCTGTTTTTAATAAGGCGTCATAAATTTCTATTCTATTCTAAATGTCGGGCCGAGGTTTAAGTTAACTTTCAAATAAGTTTATATCGCGTTTTAAACCGTTAAAGTGTTTTATTTAAATAGGCTATACCTATCAGCTTTTAATGTCAAAAAAATGTAGCGTCCATACGTTTTAAATTTGTTGTAAATATAATCTTTAGTACTGCATATACAATAGGTTTATATTGAATTCTATTTGTTCAGGTGGTGCGACGGCCGTACGTCTTCATGTACCGCGACGAGCGAGACCCCATCGAACGCGCTCTGATCAACCTCGCCAATGCGCACGTCGAGTATTCAGAGGATCAGGAGCAGATGGTGCGCATGCCCAACACCTTCAGGTGAGGTCCATTTGCAGCTAACACTCTTGCCCAACACTTAGGTTATATTCGGCTCGAAGGACCATAGTGCCTGTCAGCCTAGTTTGTTGTACGTAAAGTCAACAATTGTTGAACTTACGATCATCACTCGTATTCTGCACATCAGGTATTCGTGCTTTAAAACTATGTCCTTCACCATGATGTTTTTGTTTTAGCGTTGTGAGCAAGGAGCGCGGTTACCTGTTACAAACTCTCGGCGACAAAGAAGTGCACGACTGGTTATATGCTATCAACCCGCTACTTGCCGGACAGATAAGGTGAGACCATTTTTTATCTCATCAATTGATCCAGTGCAAACAAAAGACATTTTCTTTTTAACAAACTTTTATGGCATAATATCGATAAAAAGAAGGTTTAATCTTTATACTTGCGCTATAAATTGTCCATGAATTCGATTTCTGGGTAATATGACGAACATTTATCATATAATTAATATTCAGTTTGTTAATCTTGTAAGATTAATACAAATCAATTAACTAAACGATTGAGTACTTTAATCATTAATAAGATCATGATCGCTAGCATAGCGTAAACCCACCAAAGTACTCATTTGTCTAGTGTTAGATAAGTTTTTGTGAGCACCCGGCTCGGCCCATATCAATATACACGCATAAAGGTGTGCGCGCACAGGTCGCGGTCAGCCCGCCGCGGCGCTCCCCCCTCCACACCTCCTGCCGGGGAGAAGGCCGCGCAGCTCGCTGCATGAGACGCCCTCACAATGGAGTCTATCCTCGTTTTTTAAATGCGTCGCCGACGGTAGGGTCTACGCGCACAGACCGCTGCGAGCCGTGCGCACCGCTAGGTATTGAAACCGGCCCCCCACCACCGCTTTCGCCCAGTACGACGTGGACGAGCACGTCTGCAAACGGATACTGCTGTCTCACCATTTGAAAGAGAGGGAAAACTTTTATTTCAATCGTTATTAGGTTGAAATGACACAATTCGGTCGTTTGCGATTAATTTCCGTAGGGTTCAGAATAAAAGTATTTTCAGACTACGCTGTAGTATAATAGTGAAGTTTGAAGAAGCCTTAAACAACCAATTGCTTCGCGATTTGGATTTGTTAGAAAATCATCATCCAAAAGATGGGTGAATTCAAGGACCTTGCATTCCTAACTCGTTAGTTAGTTAAGATCTCGGAATTGTGTTATTTCAAACCTGATAAGCTATAAAAAGCTCGGGGATGGTGTTGCTACTTTCCGTTAAGGAAAGTATCAGAAAACTTTCGAATGAAAGGAACCGTACGGGCGAATGGAAATAGAAATCCAAGGAATCGTACTGGACGAAAGTCGAGTGCTAAAGTAAATAATTACGTGTCTGGTTTGGTGGAAAGAAGTTACCAAAAATTATTTGCTTCTTAGTCATATATAAGACCTTCTTTGTGATCCAAAGACTACCCTACCCTACATATTTATCTATATCAATTATTATAATAAATTATATGAATTTATAAATTACAATCGATTCAGCATGTCCAAAGTGCTATTTTATCATCAGTATTAATTAATTGCATTTAATGCGAGATACGGTCTATTCTATACGTAATCATAGATATATATGTTTTATAAGTTATATCGACTGTCGCGTCACGGTCGAGCGTGAGTTGGGACCAAACCGGTACACGATGAGGGTACGAGAGCTATTTACAGAGACGAGAACAATAATGTACTTTTAGTGGGCTGGCTTTAATATCTACCGCGGGACGCACATCGTTTTGTAAACTGTATTTGTAATCAATTTTAGACATATTGTTAGCGTTATCGTCTTTGCATCGATGTTGCATTTCTTGCCAAATTTTTCAGAAGATATCGTCAGTCTAATAACTAATTAGTAGGAATGGTGATTTTGAGAATTATTTACGTGTAAGATATCATTATTGTGATAGATTCTATAACCGAATACTTATTATAGAGTAGTGATCGTTTATTTAGTTTTACGACTTAGAATCGCATGATTTTCGGTAGCTATGTGTGATAAATTAGGCCGGCGATATTTGTATTATAGATTGTGTTTTACTATTGAAATAAATACAAGTTAAGCAGTTACTCACTACTTACGCTCAGTCGGTTGCAGAAATGAGCCGCGCGAATTATTTTGTCCGCAGATGTCGGTACTTATGCAAAGACTTTAGCGAACGCGCCAATCGTCTTAACTTACTTATAACGTGCAATATTATGTTATGGTCTTAAGAGCTGCGCACAAAAGTATTATTCGGCGATTTCGAGTAGACTCCATGGCACGAGACGGGATACACGAAGAGTACTCACTGGAGATATATAAACTAGATTTCCTTCTGATGTCGCATACGTTATCGATATTACTAACCTGTATATGTATATACGTATGACCCGAGCGTTAGCGGTTTAAATGTGGCGACAGTCCGAGCGACGTCATACGTAACGTTTCATTTCGCTCTAGTATTGATTGTACATAAAATAATATTAAAGTAGTTAAATGTAGTTATGCGTTCCAGGAGATTATAGTTTTGACGCTGCCCACGTTTTGCCGGTGGATGGTTATTTTTAATTTTCTAATTCAATTTTTACTTTTGACCATAACGATTGAATTGTGTATAAAGTAGGTTAATGTAATGTTATCGAAGTAGAAGGGACGGTTTTGTACCAGTTCAGTTCGGAAGTGTCCAACGTCACAAATCGTTCTGGAATATTCTAGTCATAAACGCGGCGTAGGGATATCGCGCGATAGGGTAGCCTTAGTTACATATTATACAATGATGCTGTGCATACAATCACATAGTAGTTTGTTAATAAATGTCTCGGTGTTACGTTTTACAATTATTGTGATCTACCCTCGCGCTACACAGCTCTCTTTCTTTCGAACGAATCCAATGTTATATCGTAGTAGTTAGATAAATGTTTGTGACGGTAGTTCGATTCTACTTCATTTCGAGTATCATGTATCAATCCGTACGATTTGAATCTCGTGACAGCTTCGATTAACGTCGAGTCGACCTACAGTCGTCGCTGTCCTATCGCTTTTAGGTGGAATACTTTCGATCTATATTATAAAAAAATAAATTATTGAGCGTAATTTTAAGATCTACTTCACGATAAATTTGTATAAGCTTAAGTAAACTTTGGTCGTTGTAAATAAGTCTTTGAATAGTTCGTTTTATTGAATGTGTTACAGTTACGAGTACAATAATCCGATTGCTTTATATTTGTTACGGATCCGATCGCAAGCTTGCACATCACGTAGACGAATACCTGCCGAACACTAGATCATCCGAATGAGCATTAAGATCGTAGAGTAAGATCCAAAAGTATTATCCAAATTAGATATGCCGAGTGTTATATTTCGGAGATTACATTAAAAATAACTTAACTAGCGTTGGATACTCATTGATCTGTCGAAGTATTTTCATGGAGACACATCATCAATTACTTCGATTCGAATATTTTTCTATCGACTTTTGCTTTGAACCTTTCAGCTAAGTAGCCACTCTGTAATGTTTTACTGGATTTGTTGATATGTCTCTCGTGCGTAGTTATTGTATTATCTTGCGTATATTTGAAATTTGTTTTAGCGAGCGACGATTTTTGTACCTCGATACATTTTATGGATCTCGATTATTGTTCTGTAATCTTGTTATGCGATGCGTTCTCTTTCTAGTCATTTTTATAACATTCCAATGGATTCCTCTTTTCGAATGAGCTAGGATAATGTATTTTGCATAGCAAAATGGTGTTTACGTAGACGAATATAGCGAGAGTTTGAGAGCGCGGAAGTGCCGTGATTCGGGTGAAATATATTTTTCTCATTTAGATTTGATTTTGACTAAGTTTCGCGGAGCTTCTTGTCTACTTGTATTTTTGAAATTTCGAAAGACCTTTTAAATTAGATATAGCAGCTTAAGCTGGATTATATATTATATTTTTATAGAGTATACTCGAAAGCTATACTGTTATTTTTATAGAGTAGCAAATTTAAGTTGAATGTTCTACGTTCGGTTCGCGGGCTGACGAGGAGGAGGCTCCTAGTGATTCGATAGTGATTGTTGTCTGTTGGGCGAGAACGATATTTGAAATTATATATTCTATATATAATTTATGGATTTCATTCGATTTATGAAATAAGAACAATGTAATAATTGGTAATATTACTCATTGCTCTAAATGTACTATCAAAATATATTATACACAGTGTTAAAGGTCATAAATAAAATGCTTTGAAAATTTCCAACTCTCGTTTCAATTGTCCGCTTCCCTTTTCCTTTGTATAAGTAACTAAATAACGAAAGGATAGAATACTAGTCGGGTTTAATATTAAAATTTAATATTTTTAAATAATGCTGGCAAATTTTAAAATTACCCTCGATGTGTATCAACAAAAATAATTAATAAATAGTGGGAAATAAGCAATTAAATTTTTGTTTATTAAAGTATCACAAGTGTCGTGATTGTTTAAATATTGAGCTAAAATATATTATTATATAAAATAACTAACAATGTAATGGTTATGTGTTATACAGAATAATATGTACTATGTCTTAGGACAACTAAATTATCACTTGAGATCTTACAATTTACATACACGAGTAACACAGATATACACAATATAAGTATATGAGGAATGAAAAATATACACAAAATATATTAAAATATAGGAATCTAGTTCGTGATTACATAACTCAAGTTAAACTGTTTTCTTGCTAAAATGCCAACGGCTACATATTACATTCATATGTAAGTCGCGTAAGAAAAGTTTTACTAGAAAGGTCAGTCAACGTAAAACGTACGTAATAATTTAAAAAGGTTAGTTTTAGTTCACGAAGCGAAAGGATTGAGATTTTTATCGTAATCGTCATTCTCTGCAAAGGGGTTAGTGGGGTCTGTGTCTTCCTCTTCTTCTTCTGCGAAGGGGTTTTTGGCCTCGTCGTACGTATCTTCGAAGGGGTTACCGTTAGAGATGGCGCCGGAGATAGGCGTGGGGGATATTCTAAGTGGTACCTTGTCGCGTTTGATCTCGTGAACGGGTTCGAGGCGCGTCATGTTCGCTTCCAGACTGGAACTGTACTGCTGCTGTTCTAGCACCCGCATTCGACCTTCGGGGACCGGCACCACGCTGGAACCTTTTGGCGCCATCTGCTTCGCTGCGGTTGACACGTATACTGGAAAATAAAATATATTTTGTAATTTAGACATCTTACTTTCAAGCTCCACAAGAAATTTTTCTTCTTTTCTTTTAAATTCGTTACTGTCAAAACACAAAGCCGCGGAAACCACTGAAAATCGCCGCTGTTACATGCCGCAATGTGTTCCCAAGCTGAATGGTTTATCCTTTTCCTAGTCCATAATCATCTGTAATTGCTGTATTTTAGTTTTGTAAATTAATGAAAATCAATGACTTTTTATTTTTATTCTATAAATGTTCTTCATTGAAAAAAAAAACATACTGAATAAATTTTGTTTAGTCGGTGATTCAAACCCAGGACCTCGTGATCTACAGTCGAGTGGTCTACGTAACTTTTAAATACACCCTTATTATATAATAATTTACGATATGATAAATTTCTATCCAAAACTTGTTTTTTATTTGTTCTAAATTTATTTGATTCTCTTCTAAATCTTTAAAACTATTTCTTACATTGTTTACTCTGTCCCTCTTGTAGTCTTAGTTTAGCCTCGGCGCCAGGCCCATAGTTTAGTATGCTTGTCGGCGCCGCAGCCTGTGCTGGTTGCGCGGGCGCCGACTGGGGCGGGCTAGGGGAAGGCGGCTCCGTAACCACCGTCACTTTATTGAAGAGGCCGCGGCCGAAATACTCCGAAACTACTGCAAACCTGACAATATAAAATAATATAATACAAATTGAAATAGTTTTCAAAGTTTATCTTTATCTATATTATTAAAGTTGAAGAGTTCGTTTGCGACACGCTAATGACCTCAAAAGCTACTAGTTCGAATTGAAAAATTACTTTTGTGTTGGATCTACCGTTTGCAAAAAAAGGCTTTAGGCTATAAAATTTTCCGCTGCGACCATTAGGAGCGAAGAAACAGTGGGAAATGTAAAAAAAAATATATTTTGTGCATTTTCGTTGCGTGCATTTCGAAAACGGTTCAAGATAGCAAAAAATATGTATGATAGAATGATTCCTCTTTTAAAACGATTTAAAAAAACGTCCACGACAATATATGTCTATCTTTTAAGAAGTTGCAAAAAAGACAGGACAAGAGCGACGTCGTGGGTAGGAGTTAAAATTTATTAAAATTCGGTTTGCAAAAACGAATTTTGAATCCCAAAATAACTATTCTACGCGGACGAAGACGCGGCCACAGCTAGTTTTAAACAGTCTATAATTTACGCGAGTATTATATTAAACACTTGCACCGCTTAAAAATAAAATATATTGGTTAATTGTTTTTGAATACGAACTAGCGTTGACTTATCAGCTGCTTTTAAAATTTAAATTTGAAACAATTAAAGCGAGTTATTGAATAAAAGAGTGTATAGTTAACAGCACGCATTCACAGACTAGCCTATCACCATACACACACATACATCACGAAATATTAAACACATTTTATCGGTCACATAGCTCGAAACGAGTTTGACGATACAACTTAAAAACACGTACTATTCGTAAATAATTTACCACCTTACATACCCCTCGTCCGCGGAATTTCTAAAACACCAAGAAAACGGTGGAAACATAGTGTCTTGTCGAACAAACATATTATACTGTTATCGATTTTGAATGTTATGTTTTATGATGTAAATATTTTGATAAGGTGCGGTGCGCGCGCGCAGACACCGAGCTGCCACTACAATGACATTGACGAAAGGCCGTGGCCACCTGTCCGTATAATTTCCTATCCGTTCTAATTAGTATTGTACATAATATTTTAAACTTGTTTCTGACGAAATATAAGACAAAACATTTCAATAATATTATATTTTAATTCAGAATCTAATGAAGTATTCTATTAAGTCAGTTATCGTCGATTTGAAAGTAAATAAGTGCTTGATAATGATCGATAAATTTTATCTTTTACTAATTTTAATCTGCATTTATAAAATTTATGGTCAGTGTGTTAAATAAAGATAAAAAGTGAATTAGTTAGAATAATTAACGCCGCAGTTATGAAAATTCAATAATTAGTTTTGTGCTTAAAGAGCAAATTAATACAGTTTTAACGAGTAGTGTCAAAGGTAGTTTTAAAACTTCCTTTTAAAATTATATTTATATAGCTGTTCCATTATTTTATTAATTTTATCACATTACGCTTCGTTTTTCACAGCTATATAAACAATGTGAGGTTTTAAAATTGTAATTCTTTTCAGTTTTTTTTACTATACAATAGCAAGTTGTTATCGCTACTCCTCTTTGTATACAAAATATCGCACGTCGGTTCGTAATAACATTAAACTTTAATTGTCTAGACCTGTCAGACATATATTTCCATGTAAAGTGTTGCGACCAGAATTTGATTCCAATAAAAACCGTTATTATTAATCTTTTAAAAAACGTCATTTTTTTAATTATTTAAAGATGAATAATTATCTAATACATATTTTTTTGGTATTTTGAAGCGCAGCAAAATTACTCAAAATTTAGTAGTTTTCCCCGTTTTTTACACATTTTCTTCTGGTTTGTCGATCCTATTACTCGAAGTCTGATGCCTAAAAGCCTTCCTCGCTAAATAGTCTAACCAACTAAATTTATTTTTGTGCGGGTTTTTAGATTTTTTTATTTCGAGCCAGTAGTTCCAAAAAATAACGCGTTTAAGCAAACGGACAATTTCAGCTAATAATATTGTATAGATATGGTTTGTAAATATTAATTTAACTTTATTAGTTTTAAACATCACAGGCGTTATTCTATGAATACAAAAATATCTGTAGTAGATATATTTTTGTGGGTACTTAATAAATTTTTAAAAACTCAATGATTACCAAAAACTGCCTCCCATTACTTTGGAACGGATTATAGTAGTAATGGAACCCAAAATGGTCAAATACAATGATTAATCATTTGAAAATTCTGTTGTATATTAGTAAAGTAAAAAATCTTAATAACATACGGATCGTGCTGCTGCTGCAATCTAGAATGTAGCGCCTCGGCTGCATGGGGAAGGGAGTCAGGTCTTCGCGCTGGACTGGCGCAGGCCGGACATTCGCGCTCACTCTCGCTGTACGTTTGGAAACAGCTGCAACGGGCGAGGTGCTTATGAGACAATTAAAATCGATACTAAAAACTATTTATTTTTTTAACTTTAATAAATATAAACACCACATGTAATTGTTCATAGCCCTACTATGGGCTATGAACAATTACCCTTCTCTAAAAATAAAATACTGTGTCATCTGTTCTCGAAATTTTCGATCTCTTTGAAATATTATTACTTTACTATTGTATCACTTCATTCATTTAAACAATAACTAACAGTTGATATATCATGGAATGCCCGATCTCAAGACTCACGAGTGAGTCGGACTAGCCACAAGAAAGGTTCTGTATCTAAGAAAATATATTTCTTGATCAGTGGTTTAGCCCGGATATCCAAACATAATATAGGTCGACAGCACATCTTGTTAAGATTTTATTTGGCTTGGGTATTTCACCTTCAATCATGGTTTGCTCATGCTTGTCTGTTCTCTTGTATCATAAAAAAATAGAAAGTTATATTGGAAAAATTCAAATACGTTTAACATGACAACTTTTGAAACAGCCCGTGGTAGACGGATGGAATCAAAGTCCCACTTTAAAATAAAATATTTCCTCACTACACTATCTCTTATAACTTACTCCTGATGATAGGAATGTTGGCAGAGGAAATGCACAGTAGGTAACTCTAGTTGCCGATTGCAAGCCGCACATCTGGAACTCTGGAAGGTGACTGGTTCGTTCTGTATGACCTGGATGTGAGCCTTCATCTTCTCAATCTCCGATGCATACTTAGTCGCCAACTCTTGTTCTCGTGTTATTACTTCGTCTTCAGATTTCAATACGTCCATTAGATATCTGATACAGATAATAAATAATCTCGATAGCACAGGTATCAGAACTATTTGCTAAATAGTGCATCAACCAACAAGGTCCTGAGTTCAAAACCTGACAAATGATTACGTAAAACTAACAGAGTAATGTTTCGACCCACAGATGATATGGTTCGTTTTAGTAGTATTTTCAATTGAATTACAAGTGATATAATAACTGCTCAAGAAAGAAATTAATAAAGCTCTTTAAAATAAACAAGAATCTACAAATTAGAAGGGCACATACTTCCGAACGTCTCCAAGGGTGTAGGTCGGAGTACTCGCCAAGCAATCTATCACGAGAATAGGTGACATCAGTTTTTCCGCCGCTGAAAAGACGCATTTTTATGTTGTATAGAAACCTGTTTTATAATTTAGGAATTTATTCAATTTTTGGAAAATCGACGGTAGATATTCAGAACATAAAGGTTATAAAAAAAAAAACTAAATTAAGCATTAAGGTTTGTTTCAATTTCATTGATTATACATAAATTTACACAAAAATACATAGAATAGACACAAAGATATATAATAATAATTACAAGACTATTGACATATAGAAGGAAAGTCACAATGTAAAGAAGGCATATGTATGCCTTCTTTACATTGTGAATATGTATACAAACACATTTTAATCTATTAGTACTCCTATTATTTAGGGTACTATAAAGAATATAATAAAAAAAATAAGTAGAAGAAGGGCGAGAGAGGGCTCTATGCATACACGACCATAGTTTGATTACGAAACTAAGTAAAGAGAAAATGCTTAGTCAATCACTGACTTAACGAAGATGCAATTCTTTTTGCCGAATGGTCGCACTATATACATACTTTGCATTAAGTTCAATATAGAACATGCGTTACCGATAACTTGAAGCAAATCTGGTAGACAAGAGGGGGGCGGTGGCGCCCACAGCACATCCAGCCATAATCTCGGACACGCGTCACCTCGTCGACGACACACGGCCAGCGCTTTTTCAGCCTCGCCGCTGCGCAGGTGCAGGGACACTTGCGCACGCCATCTATAGGTCAAGATTAGAAATTTCAAATTAGCTTTATCGTGAATCTGTAACACGAGGATACTTTCTCATTATATTAAAATTTTTAAGGACATAATCCTTCAGTGATATAATACACTTTTAAGGGTTTAAAACGCGAAATATATTAGTTGAACATTTGGGATCTTTAGTCGCCGGGATCACCGGCTATTGAAAAGGCGAAGAGTTGGTTTTGACTAATAGATTTCGAGTTTATAACGGTAAAAGTGTTTAATTTAAATGTGTACTACATGCGTGATTAACACACACACACACAGTACATCACAGTATTCAACTTTCCATCAATGATTATTAAGTTAGTAAATTTTAAATAGAAAAAGCATGTCTGCTTACAATTTTTTCTCTTCGTACAGGTGAAGTATACCGGCTTTGAAGCCTAACATTTGACAGATGATTAAGGTGTGGTCTTTATCATAGTTCGATTGCGGGTCCTTCAACACGCCAAGTATCTTTTGTTCGTAAGTCTGTTTTTCAATGTCTGTCGACTTCGCCCTGTAAAATATGGAGTACAAAATTGATACTATAAATTAAAAAAAGAACAATAGTCCTTCGAGCCGGATGACTTACCACACGTGAATATAGTGCTCTATGAGCGCATCATATACAAGTGTAGAGCATTTAATGTCTGTGGATATCATGTGTTCTAGGAAGGTAATAAGCCTTTCGGAGTTGCTTAGGAACATGTGTATGAAGTCATCGGGAAATGATCTGTCTGGTTCCTTATAACGGCCAGCGAGGGAGGACTCGTCTACTAGGGGACGACTTCGCGGTTTATAGTCCGTGCAGAGCACTGAAATTAAATTGGTCATATTAAATATAAACATTTCACATTATTTAATGTCATTAGTTCACAGTTTGTGGCACATTCTTTTTATAAATTTGCTAAAATTAAAAAAAAATGCTAAATTCACCAACATTTTAGCAAATCGGTGCTTTCATCTGGTTCATGCTGTATCAGCTTGTGGCCATATTTCTTCATATAACAGTCCGCGTCGTCGAATTCGAGTTCAGCTATGTAGTCGAGTGCTTGCTTGTATTCTTTCTTGTCTTCGATCATCATTTTTAGGAACCAATCGTGACGGTTGTGGTTAGCGGCGAGCGATAGTGCATCGTCGACGCTCACTTGACGAACTACCTAATGTGTAAAAAGTTTATCGTAATTAACAGTATTAATATATCCCATTGTTGGGACTAGGCTATAGAACTGTATCTACTCATAAAAACATTATAATTGGTACATAGTTTTGAAAATTTTAATATTTTGGCGTACAATGGCGTTATATGAATTAAAATATCTATGTAAATTTACTTCAAAAACGATTTTAGATTTAAAAAAATTACGACACGGGCAGGATTTGAACCGGCACCCACAGCGTTCTGTGCTTTAGGTCTAACCAAATGAGCCACCGTCATCCTACATCCTACACGTCATCGTCGTTCATTCAATGTTCATTCAACCTGTTGATACTTGCACCCCTCGTGCAATGTTTTCAATCTAAAAATCGATTTCTATTTATAAATGAACTTACTTTGATAGCCACGTCGACATCAAAATCGATCGCCTTGTCTTTGGAATTGATGAACAGTTTCAGCTTGCCCTGTTGGTCGTGTTGATCTATCTTCACGTAACACGTGAGCAATAACGTGGTATGGTCTTCGGTTGCGTACCCCTGAAAGTAAAATTTATGTTCGACAAAAATAACAAAGAACTTGGAAGAAAACAGCAAAACAAAGCCACCTTTTTTACACAGAAATCAGATAAAATACGATTTTGAAAAACTTCTTGACTCAAGTGGTGGTGAAGTTATTTATTATTATTAATTTTTCTACCACTGGGTCAATGATACTATCCTAATTGTTCCAGTGTTTTTTGAGATCATTTTTCATGACTTTTTAAATATACTAGACTGGCCCTGAAGGGCTTGAAATTTAATTCAGATTTATAGTGAATTCAATATACATAATACTTGAGTACCTTCTTATGTAACTCTTCTAAATATTGTATTAGCGGTTCCAAATGTCTCGGTTCCAGATATTTGCGAATCACGTAGGACGTCTCAAGCCAACCTATCGTTTTCACGTATTGATATATTGCACCCTTGAAATCGCCCTGAAATTATGAATTCATTAAAATTAAAAATAATAAATCAATATAGTTCTCATAAATTAATTTCTAGTCAGTTTAAGATGGTTTTGCAGTTTTAGATAACTTTTTTTTTATTTCAAATAAACATTAAATTCCTCAGAGCAAGCTCAAAGTGTTAGTAACGTTATCTATGTTCTATGTCTCATAACAACTCTCAGTTCCGAATAATAACAAGATGAAGCAGCAACGATAGTAAGGTAGATTTTAGAGGCCTTTAGCTCAAACTATTTAGCTTATTTAACGTATAAAACTACTGGGATTTTCGACCTGTGCGCCCGTCGTAATTAAGAAATAAAGGCCTCGTAAGCCAGAAGAATTTGAAATAATCACCTTACTATACAAATGATCACCATACTGCTTGTAAATTTCCGTCAATCCCTCAGCGTCATAATGTTGGCTACTCGCTATCCTTATTGCCACGTCATAGAGGTTCTTTTTGAATAGCAACGATAGCTTCGACTGCAGATCCTTCTCGTCCAAATATATCATCTCTTTGTTCTTCGTGAGTATATAGAACGAACCCCATTCCGTTAAAACTGCATCTATTTCTTCAAACGTCTTTGAAAAAACTATGAATTTATTCTGAATGTCCAATATGGTCACGTGATGTGATTTCGGAGTGGTGGATGAGTTGGATGGTTTGGTGGACGTTTCCGATGTCGTGATGACTAGGTAGCTCCTGAACCAGTTCAGACGAAGTTTCTCACCTTCGAGAGCGTAACACGGACCACGACCTTCGGTTGTGTAGCAATAAATTGCCTGAAAATGTGAAATGTGTATGATCTGAATGTGTTCTTTGTTTTATATTCATGGGAAGTTATATTAATCTGACGTTGCCTTTTAAAAATTGACTTTTTAGATAAGAAAAAGTGAAGACCTGATATCAAAGAAAAAAATACAACCCATCCAAAGAGACATACTTCCAAGGGACTAATAAAAAAGCTCACTACTAACCTCACTGGTAGCTACAGTTAAACGATGCCTATCAGCAAGCACACTGCATCCAGCAACTGCCCCCATCGAGTCTAACACAGTACAGCGATCGCTATTTAGACAACAGACCATCACAGAGCTGCGTGAGACTACAAATAATTTATCTGCATCCCTGTAACATAAAACAATATGTTCTGAATACATTATTTATTTATGTTATTTAATTTTACATAAATTAATAATAAGTACTAGTTTAAACTGCTTTGAAGCTTTAATACTTGCTTATCTCATCTTATCGCTCAAGCTCAAGTTATCAAAGGTGCAGATCTCATAAAACATAATAGTGATTTAGATAGGCTCAACGGTTGTAAACCTTAAATAAAATGCTGTCTGTAGTTTACGCGAGTAGTACACGTTTAAAACGTGAAATATGCTAGTTAAGCTTATTTTAACTACAGTCCGACGCTTCGGATGCTTTCAAATAAGTACGGATAATTTCAAATAAGTTTAACTATTATATATCGAGTTTTAAACCCTTAAAGTGTTTTATTTAAACCTTTAAATTTTAAATCAAACAGAGAGCTAGAATAATTGTATCCCGATTGGTCTAGGGCAAAAATTAAACATCAATGTTTACTTGAAAGCAAGTCCAGTGATAGGGCTTGATCCAGTATCTGAGAGTGTCTTCATTTTTCCACTTCGCTGTCTAGATATATCGCCGCGGAATAATGCCACAGAACCATCTTGAAATCCAACAGCTAGAAGATTCTATATACAAAGTTAAATCTGTTAATTTATTAAAAGCACTTATATGTAGTTTACTTAATTAAATTAAAATATATTTTCACTGGGGTTTACTGGATGGAAGGTAAAATACCCCAGCCATATTAACAAGTTATGCTGTCCACCTATTTTGGTTTTGAACATTAAAAAATCCACAGACTGAAAACGAAACTCCTGAAACTTCACGCCTACTTCATCTGTGGCAGGTAGTTCTTGATTCACGACGGAATTTTGATATTCCTACTCTACCCATTTAATATCCAGATTTCCAGACAAAGTCCACATTGGTAGGGATCCAACCCACAACCTGTTTACCATTAGACCAAGTAGTCTGCCATATAGAGTTATATTTTATATGTATATCTAATTTATATAATATAATAAATAATTCAAAAATGTAGGCACTCTTTTACCTATGAACATTAGAAATCACTTTATAATTTTCACTGATTGAAAAATAATAAGGTAGACATACTTTATTCTCATGCACTGCCAGCGCTGTGGCAGGAGTTGGAAACATATGTGATGGAACTGCTCTAGATGTCTTGACACACTTAGGGTTACCATGTCTATCAACTCTGGACCAATCCCATACTTTGATCAATGGAGTAACACCAGCTTCATCTTCCTGTAATTTGTAAGTTCATAATTATTTTAATGCCAATAAAATCAGATAGTGCATTGTGTATTCACAATTATTTAAAAAAAATTACATCTCTGAAGTGTAATCTCATGAGAAAATGTACTAAACTTTGTAGTGGAAAAAATCATTGGTAATCAATTACTGATGACATATTCACTGTATTTACCAACCTTAACAAATAGTTTCATCAACTATATCTTTTGTTGCAACAGTTAAACTAAAGGTATAAAATAAAGCATAGCAGTAAGAACATCTAATAACAGTGAAGAGGATATTGTGTAGTGCAGAGAGTTTTTAAAAGAGATTAAAACATAACTTACCCCGATTGTCACCAGCAGAGGATCATGGGGTAACTGTTGAGCATGTGTAATTATAAGCTCATAAGCTTTGAACGATGTAATTTCCCAAGTTCGGGAAATAAGATGAGCCCATCCAGTTAGGTCACAAAGAACCACATGGTTATTTCCGCTAGTTGCTACAGTTACATGAGTGTCCTAGGTAAGATAAAAGAATTACTTTATACACTGTAGTGTATAATAATTCTTTGAATACACCGTTGAGGACAAAAATGTATTTTGTTAAAATACTGTACTTCATTAGCAGTTTCTATAATTTGAATTTGTGATGCTTGTAGTAATGCTACTTGTGGGCGGCTCACAAAACCTTTATTCAACAAATGTATCTACGCTACCAATAAAATAACTAATATAAACACAGATTTACTCCAAAGGGCAAATCATTTTTGTTAGGGGAAATATTTTTAAAAATTGCTTTATTAGATCATATTTACCTGAAGACATTCTGCAATTTTTCCATTATCAATGTTCTTATGGACATCAAAAAATGCAAAACGTCGCCACTGAAATTATAAAGGTGCAGAATAAGTATAACACAATCACAGTTTTGTAAATTTGTAGAAATATGAAACTTAGTACATTTACAATCTCTGAAAACTCTAACAATAATTACAAAAGACATACCTCTAAAAATGCCATTATCAAAGTATATCTCGATTTGTTATTAACATTGATATTTATTTTCGCTTAAATATAAGAAAATGTATTTCTGTTGTGAGAAAACTATATCATTATAATTTTTCACATTATTCACAATCATATTATTTCATTTACACAATATTAAGACCATTTGACAGTGACAATGACATCTCAGTCATAATACTGAAAATGTAATTGTCAACGTCAGGATAAACCAAATAATGTAATTATTTGCTACAGAATATATAAGGTAAAAGATAAGGTGCGCTTAATGTTTTAAAGTCGTTTTTAACGATGCTACAAAGTATAAATGTGATAATTATATTTTAAGCATTTATTATACAACATTTACTAAAGTATAAAGTTGTTGGTATTCAATTGATATAATGGTTAATTTAACATTGTTTAATCCTTCTTGAGAACGTTTAACACTTGGAGTAGTTTGTTTCCTTGATACACTGTAATCGAAGACAAATTGTAAAAAAAATGTCATATGTTCTAATTAGAAGATAAAATAATCACTTTTATTAAATGTCATACTCGCCTATGGTTATTTACTTGCCTTAAAAAGGCTAAAGAAGAATATTTGCCGACAGGGGACGTGTTTGTTTCCAAAGACACATTTGATAGAACGAATCTAAATTCAATACAAATACAAAACTTCAATATTAATATATACAATTTTGATCATTTTATTTACTTTCCAAACATACCTTTTGTACATATCAATGTAATCGTCGTCATTATTCCATGCAAGATTAGAAAATCCATTGATTTTAACAAAAACATCCGGTCTCACGGCTATAACTCCACCAAACCAAATATCAGAACCTATTAATTTATTTTTCTTTGAATAAAATATTTAACATAAAACATAAAATACAGTTGCCATTGTTAAATCTGAGCCGCTCGCCTGAATGATATTCTTTTGTGGATTAAAACTAGGTAGGAGCTTTTTTTACTATTGAGTCTATTGACTTTATTGGGGATTTAGAAGGTAAGTAGACTTCTTTAAGCTATATCTCTGACCTTGGTGGCTTGCGACTATCAGCCATGAGCCGTTTAGGCCGAGAAGTGCTGCAGCGGTACAAATTTCTTGTATCTTCAGGAACAATATGTGGATCATGGAATATGAAACACATCCAGCCCTCTGGCAGCTTCGTTTGAGCCACTTCAAACCCGATATTAAACAGTTCGCCTCTTCTATATGGAGTTGTAGCATTTACTAAACGAAATAATTGCTTTATATATTATATAAGTACTAGTAATTTATTCAAGCAAATTTAATTTAACATTTGGTTTAAACCGCGAATTATATTAGTTATTATATTTTAACTGCGGCCCGACGTTTCGGATGCTTTGTAACAGCCCTGATCATGGGGAAATAAAAGTCCTCGATAAAGAAATGGAATTTTACAAAAAAATATTAGACACTTTTTGGCTGTTGTTTCCTTGTTTTTCTGATTTCGATTGTCTGCGAGTCGTAGTTAAACAAGTTTAGTAATATATTTCGCGTTTAAAACAGTTGAAAATATGTAAAAAAATTCACGATGACAAATTATAGAACTACTTAAAAGCTGTTATTAATGGTACAACAACGGAATTATACAATTTAATCAATACTTACTGTAGTGAGATACCTTATGAAGTGTAAAATTAACATAGTGGAAACTCACATTTGCATACAACAAAGATCTGGTAAGCAAGTTGTTGCTTCATTAAAAACGGGTGCATGTAGTAAAGGAAACTAGCCAAGTATTTTCGCATGCGTCTACAACACGTACACGAATGAGAACTTACATATTATGTACCTACCTACAAAAAGAAATAAATTTCCCGTCTATATATTATACGGTTAAACTTTCTGAATAAAAAACACCTTAGCACACTCTAAAACGGCTAAACAGACTGTGATAAGCTGGCATATCTTACAGAAGTAAGATATACAATAAGGACTTTTTATGAGCTTAAATAAACCAAGAGCACATATAGATATCATTGAATTAACCCATTAGTCTCGTGCAGTGGAACAATTATAGCAGCGTTTTGTCTGGCAATACACGCGGAGGGCGTGTGGATCCCGCCTACAACGATATCTATATACATATTCTCGATTCCATACAATCCGACAATTGATTTATCACCCGGCACCGGACCTGAAAAATGTTTGGATTTCATTTGAATCATCTCATTCTATCGACTTGCCTTGAATGCATTCATTATCATATATATTTTTTATTCTATGTGCTACATGCTACATACGTGAACTTTTATAATCACATAATGCAGATAATCGATAAAATATATCTATACTAATGTATAAAGCTGAAGAGTTTGTTTGTTTGTTTGAACGCGCTAATCTCAGGAACTACGGGTTTTAATATTTTTGTGTTGCTTAGAACATTTATCGAGGAAGGTCATAGGGTATAAAATCGCCTTTCGACTGATACAAGCGAAGATACAGCGTGAGCAGACCTGTGAGAAAAAATAAGAAAATTATTCATCATTATGGGTTCCCGATGCGTACGCGTACGCTGCAAAAACGGCTAATATCCAAAAAATATGTGTGAAAGAATGTTTTCTCTTTAAATGATCTAAAAAGTCCGCAACGGTACATGTATATACCATGCCCATAATATTGATGTCCAAAATAACGATTCTCGCGGACGAAGTCGCGGACACACCTAGTAATCTATATTATTAACAGTAAGTATTATTATTATTCTTTTCTTTCCGGGACACCTGTGGTAGGACGGGTGATCAGTCCACGTCATCAGTCGACCATTTCACCCATTTCCCCATTTCCTCCTTGCAGAGGTTTTGGGTCATCCAACTCTCCCCGTGTCCACTTCAAACCTTCCGGTTTGCTTTCAGAATAACTTCGTCAGAACCCAGTAGCCAACAGTAAGTAGGTAGAATGATTATTATCTAAATGTTTATTAGTTTATTAGTAGTATTAAAAATAAGACCACTTACCGAGATTTGGTGGTACTAAAGGACATAGTTCATTTTTCTCAGCATAATAATTCTGAAAGTAATCAATTAAACTATCCTTCTCTCGATATAAAGTTTTATTTTTGGCGCGAACTTCCTGATCCGAACCCGAAGTGTTCATTTTGCCACAGGTAACATTCTTGCCGCAGATAATATTACTGCGTAAAAATCTCGTGTTATATGGTAGGTTAATTGGGGGAAGCTTTAAATTTTCAACGTCGACCCTAAAAATTAAAACTTGCACCATGTACATAGAATGTACACAATTAACTTTTAGCCCGAGTCAGTTAAAATGCATATAAAGGCACCAAAAACGAATAGCATTGTCATCGACGTATGTACAATGTACATTCTGTGTACGCAAATAATTATATAAAGTACACAAAATGTGCCCTACTGATAGTAAACATTCTTTGGTTACTTACTCATTAGAATTTCTAGAAGCCGCATGCATTATTTTAATTCCACCATACCGATTCGATATGATATAATAAAATGAATATGAAGTGTGATACATGAAACTCAATAAAGCAGCTAAAAAAAATATGACAACAACTTTCCGAGATTTCAATTGCGACATTCTCATTAAAAATGTAATTGTTCGTATTATTATTAATGGTTAATTTTTGTAACGCACACAGAACACATTTTGAGTTTGTTGACAAACAGTGAAATTATCTTGACAAAAAATTTCATGAATGTCGAGTGTATATAGAGCACGTTATAGATATGTTATCTTTGTTCAGATGTCAAATCTGATCGTTTTGATGAAACCACAGATTAAATTGAAAAAACATAGGTAATGTTACCTAATAAAATAATTTTGTTTGTTGACGATACATTATAAAAGTCAGATAATAATATATGTAATTAATATAAATGAATTTTTACATTTGCCTACGAAACAAAAAAAAACCGAATCATGGTCGATACAAGTCTTTAATCGAATTTTTGTTTTTGATTATTTGAAATCTTATTCAATCTACCCGCATATATTCAAACAGGCGGGTAGATAGGTAAAAAATATAAATGACGTTTGTCAATGTAATTTTGCTGATGACATGTCACTTCAACGTATAATGTAAATGGTATTTTGGGAACATAGTGTACGTTGTTTGGTTTAATTTTTTATACATATCTTCAAAAATGCCGAAATATTACAGATTTAGAGCAACGCCGCCGGATCGTAAACCAAAACGGAAAGAAAGGGAAAGAGAAATTGCTGTAAGGTTGGTAAATACATTATTATCGAATTAACGAAATGTTTTATTCTGCCATCTTGTGTCAGCAATGATTTGTTCAAGTCAACGAAATGTTTCTACACGAATTAACTGAGCTCAGGTAAGCTTAATCATAAAAATTGGGGTACCTATTAATTGTATTCCTTTAGGAAGGTTTATTTTTCGTCTATACCACGTGTATTGGTCCACTCGTGCAACACAAGCATTACTTGTATCCTTCTTATTCACGTGGTAATGGTGATATTTGAAATTTCAGAAACGTGGAGCATGAAAACGACATCAATGGACTTGATTTGACGCTGCTATGTTCGCCGTCTCCATCTTGGTACCTCCGAAGAATTGCTTGGCGTGAAACAGTTCCCGTAGTTGGATTTCAGCGTCAATTGAGTCGAGGACTTCAAACCTTGGCGATATACAACAATCGGCCGGTGTTCGTTTTTATACAATTCGATCCCAAAATATGACGCAATAGTCGTTCACGGTAAAATTCCCGAGAGTGTTTAGTCCTTATTAAGGTGAAGGCTCCAAAGTGCAATTGTGACGAAAGACATTTTGTTATTGATTATAGTGCACCATTCTATGGGAATATACTCTTGTTACGATATTATTCACTGTTGTTTTTATTACAAAAACATAAACACCGACATAACAAATTCAATAAAAAATGTCCTTAACGAATTGGAACGCGCAATATTATAGTTAATATTAAGTATGACCCGACGTTTGGTATACTTTAAAGTAGCCAGTTACTCGCATACTATTGGCAATAAACAAAATACTTCACATATATTTAACTAGTTGTGTCAGCGACTTTGTCCGCGAAGAATAGTAATTTTGAGCATCCAAATTCATTTTTGCAAACTTCCTTTTCATCTTTATAAATATAAGCTATTACCCACGTCGTCGGACGCGCCCCGCTGTTCTTGCAAGTTTATCTTAAAAAATAGACATATAGTGTCGCAGACTTTTTTTATATCAGTATCAGATCAAAAAGGCAGCGTTTTGCAGCGTACGCAACGTTAATCCACAGAGATTAATAATTTTAATGTCTCCCCGTGACCACGGCTGCTGCAAAGCATCCGAAACGTCGGGCCGAAGTTGAATTTTCAAATAAGTTTAACCAATATATCGCGTTTTAAACCGTTAAAGTGTTTTATTTAAATGAATAATTTTCCCTGTTTTGCCACATTTCTCGCTCTTTCTTTGCTCCAATTAGTCACAGTGCAATTTATTTGTTTTATAGCCTATAACCTTCCTCCGAAAAATGCTCTAACCAACACGTAAATAAATTTTCAATTCGAACCATTACTTCCTGAGATTAGCGCGGTCAAACAAACACACTCTTTAGCTTTATGTGTAGTATAGATTAGTCTTTTATATAAAATAGATGCGTAGACATTTTTCAAACAAAGAAAAAGAAAATATATAGGTATAACAATTACAATAAAAGTGGGTTGGATTGATAATGATAAGCGGGTGCATGAATTGAATGGAATACTGGAAAAAACTGGTGCAGGACGTAAGCACTGTAGTCTATAGCCTAGTGCATATCGATTTAATTATTGCGATGGACTCCGTGGGGGTTACGCAGCTAGCTACGTCCTAGTTATAGTTTAATTTGTTAGGAAAGTACCCGTTTCAATAGTGGCCGGTGTAAGTGATTGGGGGAGGCATCGCTTTAATTAATTGCGCTTTAATTAGTACGACTACAGTTTTTTGGTTTAATACTTTGTTTCATAAATACGTAAAAAAAAATATTGATCTTACAAAATTTTTTAAATGAGAATTCAGAATGAGATAAAACTGTAATCGGTATTTATAGTAATGGTAAAATGTACCTTAGGTACTAACCTTTAAATGGTAGTAAGTCTCCATTACTAGTATTTCATTTTTATGTTTTATTGGAAACATTTATAGAAGGCCGGTGATCAGTCCACACCATCAGCCGACTATTTCACTCATTTCCCATTTCCTCCTTGCAGATTTACTACTATTTAAAGGCACCTACTATCCTCCACTGGAAACCTATTAAGAATTAGCAGTCTTATACGTCTATTTGGTGACCCAAGTTATTTATTGCCATATTTTTAAGGCATTGGCGGACATCCAAACTCGTTTGAGTCCAAATTATGCGGGTCGATTTGAGGGTATCGTAGATTGTGTATGTTATTACATTTTTAATAATTGTGATTTAGTTTCAATATTATCACAAAAGGTGAAACAATTGTATATAATACACTTTAGCTAGATTCACATCAATTTCATATTATGGTGAAGCATATCAATTTTATACGAGAAATTTATTTACAAGTGATTTATTATCCTTATGTATGAGATGTTGTAACGACAATAAACGATTGAACCAATGTTTTGTATTCACGTATTAGTATCAGTATGGACAAGTCCTTAGTCAAAGAGAATAAAAGCTATGATCAACTTATTAAGAAGGAAAGGAGAGGAATAATTACTAGATAGTAATTATTCCTATATACTTAATATCTTCTATTCTATAAAGAAAATAGAATAGAAGATATTAAGTTGATCTACGCCTACCTACGCACAAATATATACACATATATACATATTATGCTTTTAATACTAAGCAAAATTTGTTTCTTGGATAAATAAACGCTTCCGTAGTTTTAATACGATACGACTCGTTGGGAGCAATGTGTGGATCGTAAACAGCGGGTAGCGGGTTCGACTCTCAACGGGGTTGGGGCAAAACATGTTGGACTTCGTATGTAAATCTGAATATTAAATGGGTGGTAGGAACATTGAAATTCCTTCCGTCACAAACCACCGTTCAAAGAGGAAAATGTCGAGAAGTTGAATCGATATTAGGTATCAAAGCTAAAATAGTTATAGGTCGACAACACATGCTCGGTTGTCCTCCTCTATCGTAAAAAACGAAAATAGGTTCTACTCAAATGGCCAGAGCAAATGTATCAACTTACTAGCCTTTATCCTCTACAAAGAGTGGAGTGAAGGAATACCGGTCGTTTAACGGAAATTTATATGACACAGGCCCTGAATAGCGGTTATGGGGATAAAATATGTTGTCATTTTGTGGTTTCGCCAGCCGATTTAGGGGGATCTCACATGTGCTCTTTAGATTATAGACAATAGCTTTATCACGATTTAAGATCTATTATTTTGTTATTTTTTTACGATTAAATGGTTTTTGTCAATTTAAACATAGATCTAAAGACACATAGACACCTTCCACCTAGTGAATACTGAAATTCATGCTTGTAATAAAAAAACTTTGTAATAATGTATAAAATTATATAGCGTGAGAGGTGCGTGAGATGTATCAATAAGTTATAAGAAAAAATTGGTTGGAGCAACAGCACGGAACACTGACGAGTCCGGTTCAAGTCCTGTCCGAGTCGTAATTTTTTTCATTTCTTTTCTCTTTTAAATTATATAAAAAGAGAAAATATTGGTATTTATATATCTTTGGAATTAGTTGCAAACAAATGATTGTTAAAAGCATATTGAAGATTTTAAAGTAAAAAGAAGTTTTTAAAAAACACACGAGCGAAAAAGGTTTTTTTTAATTTTTTTTTTTTTTTTTTTTTTTTTTGGGGGGGGGGGTTTCCTTTTAACCCCCCCCCCCGGGGGGGGGGGGGGGGGGGCCCCGCGGGGGGGTTTTTAATGGGGGAAAAATTTTTTAAACCCCCCCCGCGAAAAAAAACCCCCCCCCCCCTTATTTTTTTTTTTCCCCCCCCATAAAAAAAAAAATTTTTTTTTTATTGGGTGTTTTTTTTTTCCCCCCCCCCCCCCTTTATATTTTTTTTTTTTTTTTTTTAAAAATTTTTTTTTTTTTTTTTTCCCCCCTTTTTTTTTTTTTTTTTTTTTTTCCCCCCCCCCCCCCCAAAAAAAAAAAAAAAAAAATTTTTTTTTCCAAACCCCCCTTTTTTTTTTTTTTTTTTTTTTTTTTTTTTTTTTTTTTTTTTATAACCCCCCCCCCCTTTTTTTTTTTTTTTCCCCCCCCCCCCCCCCCCCCCCCCCCCCCCCCCCCCCCCCCCCCCCCCCCCCCCCCCCCCCCCCCCCCCCTTTTTTAAAAAAAAAAAATAATTTTTTTTTTTTTTTTTTTTTCCCCACGTTGAATTTCCAAATCATCAATCAATCCGTGAATATCCAAATTCAAGGAAGGTCGACAGCACGTATCGATTACTAGTTATATATTTTTGTAATGCATTTTACACTCATAGTGAAATCCCATTTAATAATCTTGTTAAAAACGTTCCAATATCCAGGCCACTAATGGCATGGCTATCTTGTTGAAACGGCGTTTTTCTCGCCTTACGTTACACTCGCCACATTCATTGTAGGAAATAAATTCTCTCTTTTATCGGAAAATCGTATAAAATCAAGCTGGATCAGCGATTCATTACCTTGAGTCGTTTTATCTGATTTAGGTTTTAAGTCTGTAATTTTGTTCACGGAAAAGGTGTTGTTCAAAAATATGTAAGAAAAAATCAATCTTATCTTTTCAATACTGTCTATAGTTTACGCGAGTAGTACACATTTAAATAAAACACTTTAACGATTTAAAACACGATATATGATTTTTAACTTCGGCCCGACGTTTCGGCTGCTGCAAAGTTTCAAATAAGTTTAACTAATATATCGCGTTTTAAACCGTAAAAGTATTTTATTTAAATCTTATCTTTTATCAATCTAAAAAAGTGTGCGTGTAATATGACTTATGTAGGGCAAGGGCGTAGACTGTAGACATATATCTGTGACTACTGGAACCTGATCGAAAGTAGTCCTCAAGCTATCGCTCATCAATAATCTTATCATCTGACCCACAGTATTCTAATGAACATCATAATTTCAATAAACACTTTATCTTAAAGAACTTCGAACAACTTTCGTTCAGGCAGTCTAACTTTATCGTTCTCCGTCTATTTTGTGAAATTCATTTTTCAAATTCTCTTTTACGGTATCACCAGCTGGCAGTTTTAATAAAACTTATTGCGCTGAGGCACTTTGTACCGAGAGTCGGTCCTCTAACTTCGATGTACAGTTAATATGTTGTTAACTTTCCTGTGTAAGCCGCTTTCGATGGCCGCATTCGAGGAGCTGAACTCGTTTGCCACAGCAACATTTCTAAATAGATTATTCTGTCACAAATTATTCTAACATCAACCAAAAAGTTATAATAGAACAAACATATAATAAGTTAAATATTGTCAGTATGCGAGCAGGACACATTTAAATAAAACCTTCGGGGGCTGGGGCCTTCCCGTGACCACGATTGCTGCAAAGCATCTGAACGGGCGTAGTTAAAATAATCTCCAAAAAACTATCGTATAATTAACTAAAATATATCGCGTTTTGAATCGTTAGTGTTTTATTTAAATATAATACATTCTTAATACGCTACAATCGACATAAGTAACTAAAAGCCAGCACGATATAATATTAAAATGTATTCATACATTTATGT